AAGTTAATTGTCGTGGTATCGAAAATTACACCGCGGAAGCCCCAGAAATATAAATATCCCAGTCACTAGTCCACTGAATTTCTTAAAACTCCCTAGAGCGGCTATATATCATACAAAAAGCATTAGGCTACAAGGAAAAGTTTATATAGACCACCGTTGTTGAGATATCAAGTTGTAATTTATCGCATTTACTATGTGTTTTGGGGTGATCCACTCGCTTGTGGAATACGTTAAGCATTGACCATCTTTTTGTTGATTGCCTCCTACATTAGGGAATGTATTCATCAATATGACCACCAGAAGATTATGACGTATAAAGATACATAGCTAATTCGGGTGCCCTATCCTGACTATAGCTAGGATGACTTTCACGAGGTATCTAACGTCTAGTCGAGCTATAAATAGTAAAGAGTTCCAAACTCTGTAATCATACATTTGCTTAATAGAATTGAATAAGGCGCGAGTTAAGGGAGGCCCTAGAAACCACCCTAGGGATAGCTTATTCTTTAATTTAATAATCTTATAGAACTAGCTGATCTTCTATAGATGTGATAAAATCTGAGCCCCTATCAATACCTAACTAGAGTCGCTTAGTGGATATATAGTTGCTAGTACTATTGCTACTAGTAGGCTGCCTACCTCTTCGATACGTAGGGTATCTTCATACGTACTGAAAATATCTTTAGGGGAGACTAGCCCTAGAAGTCCCGGTGCTAGATTCCGCTTCTCCTTAGTAGTCTATCGGGCGATATGCTGGTCGTATAGCGTATTTCCCTCATCTGTCAGACTGTCACCGGTGGTAAAACTGACGGCGGACCTTACGTGGCTGTACTAGAGATTCTCTGATCTAAACGAAAGACCGACTGATTTTCCGGGCACTGTCGCCTCTTAGGTCTCCGCGATATCACCCTAGAGGCGCGTGCGCGCGGCTGGGTTAGTGGAGTAGGATGGTAGAAGCAACGTTCGGCCTGGCCGTGGAGACATCGACCGCATATGGGACTTTGATGGTCGCATCGTAATTTGGACTTCCGGCAAGGCTCGCACGATAACAGCTGTCCATTTCGACGAGGTGTTGCCATTTTCACCGAGTTTGTCAAGAACAAAAGGCTGGCCTTTATCTGGTGAGGTGATGATAACAAACACGACTAGGTGATCAAGACATGAATTGTCTACTAAATAGGGCCTCAGTACCGGACCTCGGCACCGGACCTGATTAAATTTCCTATTCGGGTAATACCAGCTGGAACTCCGAATAGACTATGAAACAGCACTAGTGTTAGCGGTCATCAATGTGGCCATCGAGGTGGGGGCGCCTAGTCCCGTACGAGTGGGCATATTTACCTCTGTATTTACCGCGACAATTCAGGACTTTGACTTTGACATTCCCAATGTTCTCTCTTTCTCTCTTCCAACTTTCTCTCCTTTTACATGAATCCTTGTCTATCATCACAATCATCACAATCATCAATTTCTGATTCGTCACTTCACCGCTCCTACATTCTTGTACTCAAGGCAAGAATTCCTGTCAAAATGTCGATCACATCCCTGCCAGTTGAAGTTATGTCGACGGTCTGTAGCTTTCTACAGCTCTCTGAATGGCGAGCGCTTAGGTTGTCATGTCGCGCACTTCACAGAATATCCCTCGAAGGATTTTCCATTCAATATCTCAAGAGCATTTGCTTCATTGCGACAAGCGATAGCCTTGGAGAACTAGAAGCACTCGCCGAAACAGATGGTATTCGGGAACGAGTTCAAGAGTTGTGGATGATTCCATCCGTGTTTGACGGCTCTCATGCAGAAAGTGAAAGTTCTATTTCCGAATTTGCCGTGTCATCGAGGAGTTGTCGCCCGGTATCTAATGACGAACTAAAGGCTCGTTTTTCAACATATAAAGCCTTGGTTACAGACAATTCTAGTCTTCTAGAATCGGAGGCCTTTAGCATTCGGCTACGCAAATGCTTGGAAAGGTTCGACAACCTTGACACGGTTGGACTTGCACATTACACGACGAGCTTTTTGCTCGACCCGCGACAAGAAAAAGTCCGTTTCCTTGGCTGGCGCCGCCTCATTAATCAAATCGACTTCCGATTCGGGAGTAAGGACCTCGAGCCGCTTCGTGGTAGCGGAAGCGTAATGGACAAGGTTAACTCTTTAGCCGCGTCAAGGCTTTTGCAGGCGCTCAGTGGAACCAATCGGAAAATCAGGAAGTTACAGACATGTAATCCTGATTGCTGTAGTAATATTGCCCCCAAAATCCTCCTCACAGAAGAGCAATACAGCTCTGTTCAATCCGTTCTGGGTGATTTAGAGGACCTCCACGTTTGCATAGCTTTCAGAACCACAAAGCCAGCTTATGCCATGAGTGCAACGACCTGGATCACTCTGCTTATCCATGTTGCTCCCCGCCTAGAAAGACTTGCTCTCTCGCAAGACTATTCCCTTGGAGAGCTTTCTAGCGAAATCGAATTCAATCGGCTCAAAGAGCTCCATCTCCATAAGACTTGCATCAACTCTAAGCATTTGAAATCATTGCTCCTCAAAGCCAAGGAAACCCTCGCTATTTTCACGATTTTTGAGGTGATCATGGAGGATACCTCACCATCATTGTTGCCGGATTATCCATCAATTTGGTATTCTATAACTCCAGCCTGGCTTCGTTCACCTCCAGTCCCTATTTCTACAATCACAGATATCTATGATCCAATCTTATCAACTCACAGTCCGACTCCAACAGCCTACACTCCAACTCCAACAGCCTACATCCCGACCTCAGTATACTACAATCCAACCTCAGCAGCCTACACTCCAACCTCAACAGCCTACACTCCAACCTCAGCCTACACTCCAACCTCAACAGACTACACTCCAACCTCAACAGACTACACTCCAACCTCAATAGACTACACTCCAACCTCAGCAGACTACACTCCAACCTCAACAGACTACACTCCAACCTCAACAGACTACACTCCAACCTCAACTCCGTATTATACTCAACCAGCCGGACAACTACCACCCGGACAAACTTACATCCCTTCAACCCCCCACGTACCCTCCGGGAATCATGAGGATGTTCTTTGGAAGTCGGTTTGGAATTTCTTTGGAGAAAATCTATCGCTACAGAGATTCTCCATGGCAAAGATCGCCGACCGCAGCCATGAGATCTCTATTCAAAGCACAGATGACTCGATTGAACCTAGCGACAAGGCTGTTTTTGATGCTGAAACTGCTGGAATTTCGTTTCGTCAATGGATCAGCCAATTAACCCCTATGCATTTACTGGATTCACCTAGTATTCAAATGTGGCCGTACGACGATCACAGAAAGTAAATCAAGACAGAGTAGCTATCCAACAATTTTCTAATGATTTTCAGAGACATAGTTCAACGAAATGATATCCGCAAACAGCAGCTCACAGAGTTCCGCCATATGTGACTGTGAGAGTGTATCTAGGGGCTGCTGCTTTGGATATGACCGATAGGGGTTGGAACTGTGAGCAGGCAAGATGAGATGTGGCAAAAGACTGGACAATATCAGCTGCTCTACATGTCCCAAATTTGATAGGTTGTGATTCTGTACTAGAAACAATACCCAGCGGTTCAGGTTGATCTTTATGTCTTCTGAAATGCGTGTAATTAAATCACAAAAACTGGCGCTAGCTTCGCATCGTGTCCGTATCAGACTGCCTTTATCGGGAATTTGTAATAGCCTGCCAATGATCTTCTTTATGATTGTGTAAATTCATGTTCTTCGAGGTTTACGCGGATAAGGAAGTCGATGAACTAATTTCATTGCTCTATAGTGCTAGCGCGAGAATTGCGTATCAAACTCATACTATACTCTCAAGTTCGGCGGAGGAAAAGGAAAAGCCTCAGGCCAGAGAGAAAACTTCCCAGATCGTTCAAATTTATGCTAGAATATTTGAACACCGAGGTAGTTACCTCGATGTACCCGCTCCCTGTGAGTGGGATTAGGCTGCTCAGGTGACGCTTAGTGAGCGAGTTATCTAGCTTGCGTAATAACCATGTGATGTCCAGTGAGCGAGTCTAACGATTATGTAATTCTCAGGGGCGTGCTTAGTTTTACTCAGTGAGCAAACGGCGGCAAGGGGTGAGCACTAAAACGGAAAGGGAAATCCAACTTGCCCGGCTTAAAATCCGGTGCATATGCTTACAACGTAAACTACATAAATATCTTCTGTACGCTCTTTTTAAGCGAGAACAATGAATATATATTTTAAAACCACTTGGAAATATATTTTGAGCAACCTCGACCTGGTTCTAGATGCCAAGAAGAGGGAGGTCAGTTCTACAATGTGATTCAAGCCACAATAGCCAAATCATCGTGCCTGACGTTAGCGCCAACTGGAAAGGTACTCGGGTTCGTTGCGTGACCGTGCGGGGAACCAATGTACCTACCGCAGGCTCCGCCTTCACGTCACTCACTTCCGAAAGCTTGCTTTGCTGTCTTACTTACTCTATCACGTCTTCTATAGCCATCGACCTTGAAATATTGCTTTTAATCTGATCCTCTATATTGAATCCCATAATCCGATTGTCCGTCGATTCGCATTCCCTCGCGCCAGCTCCTGAACTCCGTCTGCAACCTTCCCCCCCACGGACCGACCAGTGCATGGCCCACTTTCAGTATTGAAAGCCGTCACATCGCAGACATCTTAATTGGATACTGTTACGAAGGGTCCTTTCTATCCCCACCCCTACCCTTCCCACAATATGCGGTTACCTAGGGCTATCGCTGTGGTCGTTGGGCTGGGCTCTTTTGCGCCAACTCTTGTCAGTGCACAGGGCGAAACCAAAATCCACGAAAAGGGCCGTTGTGCTATTCGAGGTCATTGTGGAAAGCAGTCAATTTTCGGGGGAGAACTACCCTGTCCCGATAATGACCTGGCGCAGCAACCAGAAGACGCGGTGCGCCAGAAGTTGGTGAATCTGTGTGGCAGCAAATGGAGCGAAGGCCCGGTCTGTTGTCGAGATGAACAGGTGAGAGACCCCGGACGCGGTTTCAACAATGTTGCCGTGACCGTATTTATATACTATCATGCTGATCAACGACAGATCGATGCGCTTTCAAGTAACCTCAAACTAGCAGAGGGAATTATCGCATCCTGCCCCGCCTGCCGAGACAACTTCTTCAACATATTCTGTACCTTTACGTGCTCTCCCGACCAGTCGCTTTTTGTTAATGTCACCAAGACAGAAGAAAACAGCTCTGGCAAAAGACTTGTCACCGAGTTGGACAATGTTTGGTCCAAGGAGTACCAGAGCGGCTTCTTCGATAGCTGCAAGAACGTAAAGAACGGTGCTTCGGGCGGAAAAGCCATCGACTTCATTGGAGGTGGCGCGAAAGACCATACCCATTTCATGAAATTTTTGGGTGATAAAAAGTTCCTTGGAAGCCCGTTCCAGATTAACTATCACACGGAGCCCAGTGGGTCTGACCCGCAAGGAATGGAGGCTTTGTCAATAAAGCCGAAGGCCTGCAATGATGAGGACAAATCATTCCGGTGCTCTTGTGTTGACTGCCCGGAGGTGTGTCCGGAGTTGCCCGCCATCTCTCCCCACAAGATATGTCATGTAGGACTTCTACCATGTCTATCTTTTGCCGTCATCCTCGTTTATTCCATCTTTCTGTTGTTTGTTATTGCTGTCGCTAGCTATTTCACATACAAGGAACGCCGGTTCCGCAAACCAGAGCGGGTGCGTTTGCTGCAAGATCCCACTCCCAGCGATGACGAAGATGAAGGTGAAGTCATGCACCATGGGGGCTATATGGAACGGTCACAGGGAGTGTACAAGCTTAACTCTGTACTATCGGCCTTGTTCCATCGAATCGGTGGTGCTTGTGCGCGGTTCCCAGCAATAACAATCTCCTCCAGCGTCATCGGAGTGGCGCTACTGAGCCTAGGGTGGCTGAACTTCGCCGTTGAAACGGATCCAGTGCGACTCTGGGTGAGTCCGTCATCTGCGGCCGCCCAGGAGAAGGATTTCTTCGATCAGAGCTTTGGTCCATTCTACCGAGCTGAGCAGGCATTCTTGGTGAATAACCGCCCAGAGAACGACTCACGCCCGCTCTTGGACTACGAAACACTCACTTGGTGGTTTGACGTCGAGTCTCGTGTGCGACGCGTGATCTCGCTGGGCCAGGCTCTTAACTTCGATGACGTTTGTTTCAAACCGATCGGAGAAGCCTGTGTCGTGCAATCTGTCACTGGGTATTTCGGCGGTTCCGTCTCAAACCTTGACCCAGATACATGGAAGGACAGACTCGGCCACTGCGCGGAGTCGCCTGGCGACCCTAACTGTCTCCCAGATTTCTCGCAGCCCCTCAAGCCTGAAATGATTCTTGGTGGATATGAACACACAGGGAATGTTCTGGACGCCCAGGCACTCATTGTGACCTGGGTGGTAAATAATTACGCACAGGGAACAGAAGAAGAAGCAAAAGCCATCGATTGGGAGAACACTTTCCAGGCCGTTCTCGGGGTAGTCCAAGAAGAAGCTGCCGAGCGAGGCCTTCGCGTATCTTTCAATTCCGAGGTCAGTTTGGAGCAGGAACTGAACAAGTCTACCAACACAGATGCGAAGATCGTTGTCATCAGTTATCTGATTATGTTCTTCTACGCCTCAATGGCCCTAGGTTCGGTCACAGTTACCTGGAGGTCTCTGCTGACCAATCCTTCCAATGCTCTTGTTCAGTCTAAATTTACACTGGGGACTGTCGGGATCATCATTGTTTTGATGTCCGTTTCTGCATCAGTCGGGTTGTTTTCGGCAGCGGGCGTCAAGGTGACCTTGATCATTGCCGAAGTTATTCCATTCCTGGTCCTGGCAGTGGGAGTAGACAACATTTTTTTGATCGTGCACGAATTCGAGCGAGTCAATATCAGCCATCCCGATGAAGAAATAGACGAGCGAGTTGCCCGAGCAGTTAGTCGAATCGGACCTAGCATCTTCTTGTCTGCTTTGACAGAGACAGTGGCTTTTGCCCTGGGCGTCTTTGTTGGTATGCCTGCTGTCAAGAATTTTGCCGCATACGCAGCCGGTGCTGTCTTCATCAACGCCATCCTGCAAGTTACCATGTTCATCTCCGTCTTGGCTCTGAACCAGAGACGGGTGCAGAGCCTTCGTGCGGACTGTGTCCCTTGTCTTACTGTGCGAAAAGCAAACTCGTTCGGCTTCCCCGAGGAAAATTTCGACGGACAGGAGGCGGAGAGTGCTTTGCAGGCCTTCGTTCGTCGGGTCTACGCGCCTTTCCTCCTGGATCGTCGGGTGAAAGTTGGCGTTGTTATATTTTTCTTGGGTCTTTTGACTGCCGGTCTCGCTTTTATCCCCGAGGTTCCTCTTGGGTTAGATCAGCGGATCGCGCTTCCTAGCGACTCCTACCTGGTTTCGTATTTCAACGACCTGGATTCATACTTTGACGCGGGGCCTCCGGTCTACTTCGTGACCCGCAACGTGAACGTTACCGAGCGAAGCCACCAACAACAGCTCTGTGGACGGTTCACCACTTGCGAGGAGTATTCACTTCCCTTTATTCTCGAACAAGAGTCTAAACGTCCAGATGTTTCTTATCTTGCGGGCTCTGCCGCTAGCTGGATTGATGATTTCTTCTATTGGTTGAACCCCCAGCAAGACTGTTGCACAGAAAACGGCAAACTTTGTTTCGAGGATCGCGTTCCTGCCTGGAACATCTCTCTCTCAGGGATGCCAGAAGGCTCTGAATTTGTCCATTATGCCAAAAAATGGATCGATGCTCCCACCGATGCTTCTTGCCCCCTCGGTGGCAAAGCGCCCTATAGCAATGCCTTGGTCATTGATGACAAGCACAATACGATCAATGCCAGTCATTTCCGTACTAGCCATACGCCCCTTCGGAGCCAGGATGAATTCATCGAGGCATATATTGCAGCTCGCCGGATTGCAGATGGCATCTCACAGGAGCATGATATCGACGTCTTCCCATATTCCAAGTTCTACATCTTCTTTGATCAATATGTTTCCATTGTTCAACTTACTGGTACCCTTCTTGGGTCGGCTGTGGCTATCATCTTCGTCTTGACCTCTGTGATACTGGGATCTATAGCCACGGGTGCCGTCGTTACAACCACAGTGGTTATGATAGTGGTCGATGTCATAGGCACCATGACGATCGCTGGTGTCTCCTTGAACGCTGTGTCTCTTGTCAACTTGGTCATTTGTGTGGGCATTGGTGTTGAGTTTTGTGCTCACATTGCCCGAGCATTTATGTTCCCCGCTCGACCCATTATGGAGAAGGTGCCCGTCGAATTCCGTGGCAAGGAAGCTCGAGCATGGGCGGCTTTGATCGATGTTGGTGGGACTGTCTTCAGTGGCATCACCGTGACAAAACTTTTAGGAGTTTGCGTCCTGGCGTTTACTCGGAGCAAGATCTTCGAGATCTACTACTTCCGTGTGTGGCTAGCCCTGGTCACTTTTGCTGCTACCCATGCTCTCATCTTCTTACCGGTAGCTCTCAGCTACTTTGGCGGCGGCGGTATGTGCAAATTGACCCATCACTATTGAACAAAGTGAACTCTACTGACGCATTTAGGTTACTTTGACCCTGCCTCCGACGGTGGCCTAGAGGCCAATCTCGCTTCACGTGGCTACCGCTCATCGCTAGTCCATGATGATTATGACTCTGATGAATATTGAGTGATGCCTCGGTTGTTTGCGGCCTTCTTAGTGTGTGGGTCTTCTGGAAATGACCGGATGCACGGCTGCTAGTACATAAAGCACTCGTCAACCGGTGGTATTTTTGCTGAAGCACACTTTACGCTCCATGGAACAAGATGGATGAAAGGCGTTTTGGGGCGAAGGGACCTTTTTTTAATTAATGTTCTCTTCTCTATTTTTCTATCTTCAACGTGGGAAATCTCTACACTCTTCTGAGGCATAGAGGTTCCTTCAGCTACGTTAGGTACACGGAGTAGCTGGTATACGATCATGTCCCAGCACAATTTACACTTTGAAATAAGAATCAAAGGAATTATCACTATACTCTGTAACCAAGTTAATACAATAATATCCCAATATAATCCCAATATAAATGAAGTCCAAGGAAATCTCTGCCCAAATTCCCGCGTGTTGACAATTGTTCCCGCGCTAAACTCAATCAGGATCCAGCCCACTCCCCTAATTTTTTTTTCTTGCTATCTTTTCTTCTCTCTCCCCCACCACCCTCCTTTTTTCCCTTCATCCTCCTCTCTCTTTCCTTTTTCCTTCCTGTCAATATTGCTTTGTGATACCCCCTTTGAGTTGTTTGTCTGAGACAGACTGCTCAATATTTGTTCCTGTGGCCTTAGTCTCTCACAGAGACCTGGGGCAACTGAAACCGTCCAAGAAAAGTAGAACAAAAAAAAAGAATCACTCGAAGATCTTCCACATTCCACCTTCCATCATGGATCAACAGCGATTCCTGCAGCAATTGCAGATTATCCTGGATCGTGAGTTCGTCTTGCAACGTCGAAGCCCATGTTCGTCTCGCTGACCCCTTCATGTAGCCTCCCAGGGAAACCTTAAGGAGGCCACCGGAGTCCTGCAAAAGGAGTTCTACAACAAGCCCGAATCCCTTGTCTTCCTTATCCAGATCTGCACTAGCCATGATGACCAGAATCTGCGCCAGCTCTCTTCTGTGGAGGCACGTTCGCTCGTTTCCAAGCACTGGCTGAAGGTTCCCGCCGACCAGAAGCCCCAGATCCGCGAGCAGCTGCTTCGCTCCACCATGGGCGAGAGTTCATCTCTTGTCCAACACTCCATTGCTCAGATCATCTCCGCTATTGCCAAGATCGATTTGAACGACGGCGAGTGGGCTGACCTGCCTAACCTGCTTCTGCAGGCTGGTAACAATGGTAACGCCGCTGAGCGTGCCGTGGCCATCTACATCCTCTTCACCATCTTGGACACTCTCGGTGAAGGCTTTGAGGAGAAGTTCCAGGACCTCTTCAACCTCTTCAACAAGACCATCCGGGACCCGGAGAGTGCCGAAGTTCGCATCAACACTCTCATGTCTTTGAGCAAGCTTGCTATGCACCTTGACTCAGAGGAGGATGAGGCTCCCGTCAAGGCTTTCCAAGAGATGGTCCCTGCCATGGTTGCTATCCTCAAGGACTCCATTGAACGGCAAGAGGAGGACCACATCCTGCAGTCTTTCGAAGTCTTCCAGACTCTGCTTGGTTGTGACCCTGCTTTGCTGACCGTCCACCTCAAGGACCTGGTCATCTTGATGAACCAGATCTCTGCCAACACCGAGGTGGATGAGGATGTTCGCACCCAGGCCATCAGCTTCCTGATGCAGACCATCCAGTACCGCAAGCTCAAGGTTCAGGGCATGCGCATTGGCGAGGAGCTCACTCGCACTGCTCTCCAAATCGTGACCGAGCTGGGCGATGCCGCTCCTGGCGATGATGACATCACTCCTGCCCGTTCTGCTCTCGGTCTCCTGGACATGCTCTCCCAGAGCCTGCCTCCTAGCCAGGTGGTTGTCCCCTTGCTCAACGCGCTTGGTCAGTACTTCAACAACGCCAACCCTGATTACCGTCGCGCTGGAATCATGGCCCTTGGCATGTGTGTTGAGGGTGCCCCCGACTTCATCAGCACCCAGATGAAGGAGATCTTCCCTATGGTCCTCCAGCTCCTTGCTGATCAGGACCCCAAGGTGCGCCAGGCTTCGTTGCACTCTGTCGCTCGTCTCGCCGAGGACCTCGTTGAAGACCTCAGTTCCGAGCACGCGCGCCTCATGCCCTTGCTCTTCCAGAACTTGGCCAGCGCCATGCAAGAGTACAAGGGTGAGGAGGAAGGCCCTACACTCGATATCATCAAGGCCGGCATTAGTGCCATTGATGCTGTCGTTGATGGTCTGGATGAGAAGGATGTTTCTCCTTACCAGGCCGAGCTTGTTCCTATCCTGCACAACCTCTTCAAGCACCCGGATTTCAAGATCAAGGCTCTTGCTGCCGGTGCTCTTGGCTCCCTCGCCTCCTCTGCCGGAGACTCCTTCCTCTCATTCTTCGATGAGTCGATGCATCTCCTCCAAGAGTTCGCTACTGTCAAGGACAGCGAGGACGAACTCGATCTTCGTGCCAGTGTCACCGACTCCATGGGTGAGATGGCCGCCGCCGCTGGCCCCGAGCGTTATCAGCCCTACGTTGAACCCCTCATGCGCGCCACTGAGGAAGCTTTGCACCTCGGTCACTCCCGTCTCAAGGAGAGCACGTACATCTTCTGGGGTGCCATGGCCAAGGTCTACGGCGAGCATTTCGCCCCCTTCCTCGACGGAGTCGTGAAGGGTCTGTACGATTGCATTGAGCAGGACGAAAGTGACCTTGACGTTGACCTCGGCAGTGCTGCCAAGGACCTTGTTGGCCAGGAGGTTACCTTCAATGGCCGCAAGGTCAAGGTCGCGAGTGCCGAAGACGAGGATGACGGTGATATCGAGGATGTTGATCTCGAGGACGAGGACGAGTGGGATGACGTTACCGCCACCACTCCTCTCTCCCTCGAGAAGGAGATTGCTGTCGAGGTCGTCGGTGACCTTGTTACCCACACCCGCAGCGCCTTCCTGCCCTACTTTGAGAAGACCATTGAGCATGTGATGCCCTTGTGTGAGCACCCTTACGAGGGTGTTCGCAAGAGCACCATCAGCACGCTGCACCGCTCATATGCTATGCTTTTCGCTATTGCCGAGGAGAATGGCCAGATGCCCAAGTGGCAGCCTGGTCTCCCCCTTCAGGTTCAGCCTGCTAAGGAGGTCCAGAAGTTCGGTGAGATCCTCATGACGGCCACTGTGAAGATGTGGACCGAAGAAGATGACCGGTATGTTTCACCCATCTTTACTTTCTTTTCTTCCCTCGCCCAACCATTTCTATGATGATTTTTTCCGCTTAACCCAGCTCACTTTGATGCGCCAAAGGCGTACTTGATGTAAACGGCGAAGTCTACACTCTGAGATCTACTTCTACCATTGCCTCATTATTTATCAATTATCGATTTAATGACTTGATTGCTGACCGGTAATTAATAGTTCTACTGTTGCCGATATCAACCGCAACATGGCCGAGAACCTGCGCTTCTGCGGTCCTGCCCTCATTGCCAACGAGACCATGCTTCACAATGTGATCCAAATGGTCACCGACATCATCACCAAGCAGCACATCTGCCAGGTGGAGTTCGGCCCTGAGGAGGAGACTCTTGAGGCCGGTGAGGAAACTTCGGAGTTCGACTGGATTGTTGTCGACACTGCCTTAGACGTTGTCTCTGGTATGGCCGCTGCCATGGGCCAGAGCTTCGCTGAGCTCTGGAAGGTTTTCGAGAAGACCATTCTTCGCTACGCTGGTAGCTCTGAGTCTCTTGAGCGCGCCACTGCTGTCGGTGTCCTCGCTGAGTGCATCAACGGCATGGGTGCCGCCGTGACCCCCTTCACCTCTGTCTTCATGAAGCTGCTCCTTCACCGCCTCGCCGATGAGGACTCTCAGACCAAGTCCAATGCTGCCTATGCGGTTGGCCGCTTGATTCAGCACTCCAACGCTGATGCTGAGATCAGCAAGGACATCCCCACCATCCTTGCCCGTCTTGAGGCTTGCCTTCAGATGGACGTCTCGCGTCTCCAGGATAACGCTACCGGCTGTGTCAGCCGCATGATCTTGCGTTACCGCGACAGTGTCCCCACCAAGGACGTTCTGCCTGCCCTCGTCAACATTCTTCCCCTGAAGAACGACTATGAGGAGAACGAGCCTCTGTACCGCATGATCTGCCAGATGTACAAGTGGGAGGACGCCACCATCCGCGAGCTTACCCCCAACCTCCTTCCCATCTTCCAGTCGGTTCTCACTGGCGATGAAGATCAGCTAGAGGATGAGCGCCGGGCCGAGCTCATTGAGCTTGTCAAGTGGCTGAACCAGATGCAGCCTGGTGCCGCTCCCTGGGTGGAGCAGCTGTAAGCCGACTGCTCTGTTATGGATTGATGAATAAAAAAGGATTTATTTAATGGATAGACGGATGGCTTGGAAGCCTGAGATGACTAGACGATACCCCAGTCACTGCGGCGATGATTGATGAACCCCCTCAAAAGTTGCTGCTGTATATACTGTCAATGACTACATACCTTGATCTTCGACTTGGGTTTTTTTGGTGTAGAATTGTGTACAAGTGTCTATGATTGTGGAAGTGTCTAGGCTATATACATACATACCTGTGTCTCCTATGTAGCCCCCCCCCAAAAAACCCGACACCCAATTCATGTCGTCGATCACATTGTTTCATCTCCGACGACTAAGCTTCACCTCGATACCAGTCTGCCGCATAAAAAAGCTATTATGCGTCATCCAATCCTTTTCCGGATGAGCTAGCTTGATATCGTATCGTGACACAAGAGTTGCAATCACCTTATACACCTCCAGCAGACCAAAGTGCTTCCCGATACAACTGCGGCTTCCACCACCAAAACTGAGGTCAGCCTTATTCATTGATAGCAGACGTTCCTGGAACGCGTCTTCGGTCTCGCGTGTCTCATCGCGGAGCCATCTCTCTGGACGGAAGTCTTCGGCATCTTCGCCCCAGACAGACGTATGGCGTCCCACAACGTAGGGATTCATGCCAACTATGGATCCCGCAGGAACGAGGCTTCCATCCGGGAGTGCAAGTCCGCCCTCTGGAACATATCGCTCCAGAAGCATGGCGACACCGGGATGACATCTCATTGATTCTCGTACCACGGCATCTAGGTATGGGAACTGCTTGGCGGATTTGTAGGATACCACTGTGCTTCCAGAGGTATGGTCGTAGGCGGGAACCTCGGTTCTTAGACGCTCCCAGACTTGAGGATGTTTCAAGGACATGTACAATGCCGCGTTGATGGTGGCGCTTGTCGTGTCAGCTCCTGCAACCATGTTGAGCAGGAGATACGAGATGATTTGCGTGTCATCAACCACGTCTGGGAATTTCTCCTTGGCCTCGATGAATTTGTCCAGGAAGTCGGGCTTGTTGGGATCATGGCAGTCGGTGTCCTTGTTCTGGAGTCGGTCTATGAGGTGCTGGACTGATATGTTGGCGACGGTTCCGAAAGAAGGCGGGCCGATTCGGTGGATTGGATTTTTGTCCAATAAACGATCCAGAATTGGCATTTGTCCCACTAGGGAAAAGTAGTCCATGGCGACATTTGCGATGTGCAGGGTCTCGTCGAAGTCGCACCCTTTTTCCAGGTATCCAATGGGCTTGCTGAATGTGGCGTTGCCAACCACATCCCAGGTATCTGGACAACCTATTAGCCCTGGGAAGGATGATGTGCAGGGTTTCAACTTACAGTACGCAATCCATTCAGCTAGCTCGCACGTTTTAGTTGGGTTGGATGGATCGATGAAATTCTCCTCCAAGCGTTGACACAAGTAGGAAATCATATCATCGATATGGGACTCCAGCGGAAGCACCCCAGTCAGGGAATAATATTTCGAGATGGGCCGCTTCATCTGTGCATGCGACTTAGGATTGCACTCGCTGAAGACATTGTAGATGATTGTGCCGTTGTCTTTAACGCTACTGCCATGATAAAATTCGGTCTGTCACAGGCTACGATCAATACTAGTAACTATTAACTGGTAAGAACACACCTTTAAATACTCCGATTTAATATTGTAAATCGTCTTGATCAACTCGGGGATATCCAGGTCGAGCACATTGGGGCCAATGCGCACCACCGCGCCGTACTTCTTATGCAGCTCGTGGACGACCACATGGTACTTGCCCTGGCGAACTTGTAACATGCGCCATAGGTTTGTCCAGCCTAAGTCATGAGGTCAATATTGTACTGAATCCTACTGCCAAATCGATCTTTAGTCGACTCACCTGCGAGGAAGGGACCGGGATAACAGCGTAGCGGGGAGAGGAGATATGTCGTTAAATACCATATCGGCAGGGCTAAAAGAAAGGCATACCCAAGCAGAGTGGCATCTTTATTCCCGTAACCAAACATGTAAAAGGCAAAGGCAATCTTTTAATATGGTGTGGAGTTGGATATATCCGTGAACCCTCTGTGCTAGATAATAATATATAGACAGGCCGTGTGCGTATACCCCTCACAACGCCGATCCCACGTGGCTCCGTATAATGGGCGTGCGAATCAAAAAAAGCACGAACACAGGAAGATCCCTTATACTCCATATTGCTCTGGAGGACTTACCCAAACGGGTTATCTTCCGACAGTTGTCGAATGGGCTGCCGCAAGGGCGACCCATTACGATAGCAAAAAGCACTAAAATCGAAAAAAGTACGAAATATGGAGTACGGAATATCCAATTGGAAGTGCCCAATTGGCTCTTTGGACTCCGCGCCATTATGCTACTACCGTTTCAAGCTAAACATTACCGTCTCCTTGGCCTTAATATATATAGGCTATCGAATCACAATGAAGTGCGGAGATGGTCATGACCCAAGTAGCTTCGTATGGAGTATAAAGGTCTTTTATCAACTCAGTGAGTAGAGAACAAAAGATGCATTTGTGTTCTGAAGATATCAACTAATTTCTCAGTTGTTTTAACAAGTTTTGGGCTCCTACAATATTCTCTTTCTAATTTAACCGGCTTTCTGAATCTAGAAGATCCTCAGACTCTATATGCAAGTCTATATCATCAAGGCATTTTGAGTGGATCATGCATTCAGCTTGACCTGAATTTTTGCCCATATGCATAACGAAATGATTGGACAGACATTTGCCGTGTTAGGAGGATGCGCAGAGCTGCCGACATTTTCCTGCTTCGCACTGTTGTCAATGGCATCTATTTCGATATGGATCTCAATAGATCGGCTTGTTGACTATGTCCCGCCATCATCTTCCGCAGCGCGTCCTATTGTCCGAATCACACCTTTCTCGGTTTTGCGTGAATGTATTTTCGATATCCTCTGCAACTTTGGTTCAGAGCAGAGTTTTTTTGGCCCTTATATTTAATTGATCTATTATAAAGTATGCGCTTGTAGAAATACCAGGTTAATTATACGGGAATTTACACTAAAATAAGTCGAAGGGAGATGGATATAAATCCCGTCTTTGTATATAATACATATGTGATATATGTTCCATATGTATGTAGTCTTGTATGTTCTGATGCTTGATATACCTATATTTCTATACTTCTATAACTATTTTACCTAATGATTTAATTTGTATCCCCTTGTTAAGTAAGAGGTTTAAGTGGGAACATTCTAATATATATGGCTGCCTGCTGGGCCTTTTCTCACTTTTCCCTTCATTTTCCCCGACCACTGATTTCAGCCCTACAGCCTTTTGTCTTTGAAGGTGTGCTGATCTCTTTCCATTCGATTTTTCTTGTGACTGACAATCATAGAACTCTGCCCACCATGGCTGTCACCTCTATTTCAACCCCATTCGACTGCACCCTTCCTTCCAGCTCCGGTAGCTCCATTAAAAAGCCCATCAAATCAGTCTCCAAGCCATGCTTTGGTTGTGATTGCGGCGATGAAGAGTGCGATTGCTGCATATGCACTGTGATGTGAGGTCATTCGTCTCAATCTCACTCGATATGCTCGTCTGGGACCTCGGGAATTTCGGTGCGTGGTCTGATTTGCATGAGGGATCCAGATTAGGAAACCATACGGGGAATACATGATGAGGATCCAAGGGGATTGGAGATATGCAGTACTGCATTTATTTTTCATTCCCATTTTTGATGGGGTACCCATGCGATACCCGGGCATCAATTTATTATTCAATGACTCTTTTTAACATGCTTATATGAGCTCAGTAATCATACGTGCACATATCCATGGATACTATACCAACTAATTGATATACATAGGTAGTCAACTAACTACATATGTAGTTCACAAAGTCGTTCTATATGCTTCTATAAACCTCGTATTACATGCCTGAGGCATCAAATGGCTGAATCAGCGGCCATTTTGTCAGCGGGTTTCGGTCCAGCCATTCCCACCGACAATCTTTGAGCTTAATTTCCCAATCCCCCTGGACGAAATACAATGTATCCTACATCTAATACTTCTAATACTTCCGAAGATCAGCCGCGGACACGGACTGCTCGTGCCTGTGATTCCTGTTATAAAAGAAAGGTAGATCGTTCATCAACTGTTCACCGCGTCGCTAAACTGGTCCCCAGATCAAATGTGACGCTGCGCTTCCGCAGTGTAATTGGTGTAGCCACCATAATATCCCCTGTACATTTGACAGAGCGGTGCAGAGGAAAAGAAAAAATGTCGACGATGAGGGGTGAGTCTGTACCTCGAGCTTGTTCTTCTATGTGTCTGATGTTGAAGATAAGACGCCCCAAAGTTTCGCGACTGTCAGAGCGAATTAGTCGCATCGAGCAGCTTCTTGCAGAGAACTTAATGAGTGATCAAATCTCTGGTATAGTGTCTTTTCAACATGCAGAGGAGCATCCTAAGACTAATTGGCAAAAGTGCCTGAAGACTCGCCTCGATCTTTTGAAGCCAACACGACGGCCAGCAGCTCCCCAAGTAACACGCAACTTGCAGACTCATCCTCAGTGCGAGTTCACTTTGCGGGCAAAGAGTTGGGCGTCATCAGTTTACTCACGGGCACACCGTTCCTCTTTCCCGAGGGACAGGAATGGATCAAAGCTCGCACCGGACAACCTCTTGCAATTGACAAACTTTGTCCAGCACGAGCACCCTGGGATAAAGAGCGCGGACAAACCTTCAACACTGTCCTGATGAACATGAACATGGGCACTTGCAATCCCTATGAACTTCCTGACTGGAGAACAGTGCAGGTGTACTTCCAAGCCTACACGAACTCCAAGGTCATGCGGCGTGTCTTTCCTGTTATAGACCCGGAGCTTTTTGAGCAGACTATCAACACAGCCTACAGTCAATCGCCATCTACCTTCAGATATGGCCAAGCTAGCGCTAGAGTTTGTGTCATTGCATTTCTTACCTTTGTTTCTCGCCTGCCCGACGTCAAGCACATTGTCAGTACGACCACGACGACGGCTCCAATCGATCATGATCTACTTGCCACAAAAGCACAGTTCTTTATGCCTCAAGTATTACAAGAGTCTGCCAGTCTAGACGCAGCACAGGCTATTACCATATTGGTAAGTGAGCCACTCTGGTGTATGATTCCGATAACTGACCGGTGGAAACATAAGACTCTCTTCGAGCTATCTTCGGGAAATATGCGGGCAACCAACTACTATGCGGCGGTTGCTGCGCGACTCATTTTCATGCTTGGTGGCAATATTTCTAGTGGTCAGGCCGTCTCAACGGATACCCGCAGCCAGCAAAAGCATTCACAAATACGGAATCTATTCTGGATTTGCTATACGATTGATAAGGACCTTGCGCTGCGCACGGGCCAACCACCTACTATCACTGACGAAAATTGTGATCTGACACTTCCGCCGGGCTATCTCGATCGAGCATTCTTGGACGTGGAAGACGAGGAGGCCCCATGGTACGGTCCCGTATTTCCATTCGACTTGCGCCTGAGTATCATTAAAGCCAGAGCGCATCGAGAGCTGTATTCAGTCAGCTCTCTGCAAAAATCAGACGCTGAGCTGCTCAAGTCAATCCGAGAACTTGATGACGCGCTAGAAGAATGGCGGCTATCAGTCCCTCCTAAATGGCGTCCAACCGTGTCCTTTTCTTCTGAGACCTCAGATCCGAATATGGGTATGCACACCGTCATGCTGCGTCTGAACTATCACCTATGCATGACCATCATCCATCAAGCGAGTGGAAGATGCAAGGCGTGGGTGCAAGGACAAAGTGGCATGATGGATGGTGTGAGTTCAAGTATGGCACTTTCAGTAGAGGCCAGTCGATCAAGTTTATGTTACCTAGAGGCGGCAGAACATGTGGTAGTCGACGGGGTGTTTTGGTATGTGATTGCCGTCATGCTAACTATAAGGCAGAGCTAATCCGTCTCAGGACTCTAATCTTCTACCCCATGTCCGCGCTGCTCACCATCTTCTGCAGTATTCTTCAGAACCCATTGGACCCATATTCGCGCGAAGACTTGGGCCGGTTGAATGTCGCCACGGTTATGATTGAGCGTATCTTCTCACGGAAACTGCCCGCAACTGAGCTTGTGCATTTCAAATTGGTCGCTGATTTCATTGTGGAATTGAAGCGATTGGCCGAGTGTGCCATCGACAAGGCCTGGGCGGAGCAGCGTGCCGCGTCTCATTGATTTGTACATTGTTTTCTTCCTATTGATTTAAGGGTCGATATCACTGGTCGCACTTTAGTGTGAGGAGTTTATTGGCTACGGTACTTAGAATTAACGAAGATTAATACAGATAGAAGGAAGAACGGTCATTTGGATTGCATTGGGTAGAGATGGTCAGAATAGTGTTCAATAGAATGATATCTCATATATCCATGGATGATGCAGCCAGTAGTTGTAAGAAAGAATTCCGGCAGAGATCCACAGAAAAACCGGCATGTTGCTGGCTTCTCTAGTGAATGTAATGGGAATTTGAGGCACCTGGTCTCGGATAGTCCAATTGTTCTGAAACGTGCTGTCGGTGGTATCAGGTCGTTAGAACATCGGAGAATGTCCTAAATTAATGGTGTAGTCTAATACCTGCCTTAGGATGATGCGAAGTGTGCGACGATTCAATCGACACATCGACATATCAGGATGTCATATATAACAGCCCAGTGAGCTTGCGTGCCCATGTGACGCCTGTGATGGAGAACCTGAGGGACATTTTGTTGGATGTCGACGAACCCTCGGTTTGAGATTGTTCCGCGTTGGGCTGTTCAAGGACGAGGTTGAGATGTGAAACCAATGTCGCAATTGAACACATAACACAGGAAAACTTCAGCTATTTGACTCGGAGAAGGCAATACTGTTCAAACTAAGAAAAACCAGCCCCCTGTTGGGTTCAGATTTCTTTGTCCAGTAGATTCCAGATCAACCGAGAGTGCTTATCGGCCTTGTCTTTCAACGCTTTGGCCTGGTCGGTATCGTCGTCTGACCCAGTGGCATTCACGCGGCTGCCCTCCGCTTGCAACTGCTCTAGTACGCCCTCAACCTCCGCTTTGACTTTGTCCAACTGTTTCATTTCTTCTCGGCTGTGATTGAGCTGCTCTTCCATCATCATGATGAGTGATTCGCGGGCTTGGTGAGGACGGTAGAGGTTGAGAAGGTGGTGTGCATTGATGAATAAGTTGCGCAGGTCTTCGACCTTGGATTCGAATTGTTCGGGCGAGACCGATAAGATACCGGCAAACTCTAGGAAATTGAGGAGCAGGGACTTGCTGATCTTGAGAAGGTAGTATGCGTGATTGAGAGGGGGCGAGGGCTGCGAGTTCTGTTCGGTACCGGCTGCGGGGGGTTCTGGGTAGAGCTGTTCGATCCCTTGCTCTTGTAATGATGGCAACGTTGTAGATAGCTATTTCAAAGTCAGTATTGTCAGGTAGGTTCGGATGTAGGTGAACGAACGGTTTGCAACTCGCCAAAGACGCTGTATTGTCCTTCAGGGATGTCGGGAGGCACCAAGTACTGGAGCTCTGAGGGGAGCTCCAGAGCGCGCAATTCAGCTGCTGACCATTGCTTGTTCTTGTGCAACCGTCCATCTTCGCTTTTGGAAGCTTCGGCTTTGATCTGCTCCAGTTTGTCGATATTGGCGCGTGTAAAGTGCTTCCATAAGGGCGGTGGGGGCGCAAATGCCGTGGCCACGGCTCGTTGTTGGCTCTCATCGGCCATATCGATCAGCACGAAAGAGTGGATGTGGGGAAAAGAGAGAAGTGTGAGCCAAGTGAGCGGAGTGGTCACTTGCGAAACACAGAGCGGAGAGGCGGTGACGTGGTCTGTGCTTCCGCAATGTGTACGAATTGTCAACTTGACCTTTTTCAATCTCGACTCCCAATGAAGACCTAAAGATCTGAAGATCGTTCTGAAGTCCTCGGTTGTGTAGGATGCCTCACAATGGTTCGGGGAACGGGTCGACCCCGATTCTACAACGCGTTGGACTCGCCGGTGCTGCAGCTCGCTTTGCGCAACGCACCTATGCCGCCGACTATATCGCATTGGGGTTTCTAGTGGCAGGATGGGTACTAGTAAGTCACAAATGACTAGACCATGGATAAACAGTTCTTTTTGACACATGAATAGATCCAATTATTTGTGAGCCCGTTCCATCGCATGTTTTCACTGGATAACAGGGCCATTCAGTACCCGTTCGCCGTCCACGAACGAGTTCCTGTTTGTAAGTCGATCGTCGATGATACCGTCTGCTTCCGTTGGTTCTAATAAAGAGTAATAGTGTGGTCGGTCATCTTCGCTGGTCTGATTCCTTTCCTGATTATTCTCGCCTGGTCCGCAATGTTTCGCGCCGGTGTGCAAAAGACGCAAGTGACAGTACTTGGGCTATTCGTGGCTTTGATGTTGACCTTATTCCTGACCGACATAATAAAAAATGCGGCGGGAAGACCACGTCCGGACTTGTTATCGCGCTGCAAACCCTCCCGGGGTACATCCAACAATGCGCTGGTCGCATGGACCGTCTGTACAGAATCCAACCAGCACATTCTACAAGAGGGATGGAGGAGCTTCCCAAGTGGGCACAGCAGCTTTTCTTTTGGTGGTCTAGGCTATCTATACCTGTAAGTGGTTCTTCAAATGCACAGAGCTAGGACGCTCAATCTAACCAGCGTGACCCTGTAGCTTCTTGTGTGGTCAGATGCATGTCTTCCGTCCTCGGACAGATCTTGGACGCTGTTTACTTGCGTTTTTCCCATTACTGTGTGCTTTGATGGTCGCGCTCTCTCGTCTTGCCGATTATCGACATGATGTATACGATGTGACCTGCGGGGGACTTTTGGGCATGCTGATAGCCTGGTTCTCGTACCGCCGCTACTATCCACCGCTGCGGTCGGTCATGTGCGACGTTCCCTACGACAAAGCTGACATTGCTGGACCTGATGGCTTTGCTAAATTGGGTGATGAGGAGGCTCTTGTCCAACCCTTCATTTCAGGCCCTGATCCCTCGGAAAGCTATCAGCTCCAGGACATGGAGCCATCTCGATGAACCTAGCGCTTACTTGATCATGTCATGTTTCTATCCTGGTGTTTTCCACTTGCACTATTAGAGGACGTTTGCTGCTCGATCCTTTTCTTAAAGACACCTGAAAGGGAACAGCATCCGTCTGGTCCTGGCGTAGTCACATTGCTCTCACACGTGCTGTAGTATTTTTCTGTATTACATTGCCGAGATGGAAGGCAGCCCGAGGTGAGGTCTTGTCAAAATATCCATTATTTTGGTCTATGGGACGCTTTTCATGCTCTGCTCACTCCCTGTCTATATGGTGTTCCCAAAAGTTGGACATGGACCAAGTGAATCAACATCAATTCACCACGTAGCTAACTCGCGAGTTTCCTTGTTTTCTCGAAATCTTCTTGACCGTCACAGGCCCACACAGATCTGTCGTATCGACATGCGTACCTCCACAAGGGTACACTTCAGCGCCGACGATGTTGACCACCCGAGACTTTTCACCTGCCGGCACCAAACTGCGATCAGGAATCAATCTCTCCAATCCACGCGAGCGGAAATCCTCTTCACCCCACCATTCGATTTGAACAGGCATCTTGGCGGCGATATATCCATCCAACTTGTTCTGGATAGAGTCCTTCCATTTTCCTTCAATTGAGCCTTGAAACTCACATGCTGCCGAGTCGGGGAAGTGCGAGGCTTTCAGTTCATCGAAGTCCTCGATCTCTTTCTCCAAAAGATGCCGGACTGATGCGCCTAGTACGTGGCCTGCGGTATGCAAACGGGAATATAATAGACGCTTTTCCGCATCAATTGCCTGCTGGACGGTATCACCTTCTTTGAAAGCGGATGAGCACTCGAAAATACCAAGGTGAAGCACCTGTCCATTGGCATCTGTGCGGACAGCAGTGACTGCGAAAGTGCCATATGGGCCTTTTAACATGCCCGTGTCAGAGGGTTGGCCTCCACCCTGGGGGTGGAAAATAGTTTTCTCGGTGACAATGACATGGTGTTCCTCGCTGGCATCTTTGAAGAGTAGACGATTGGATTCTTCGAGGCCGTTGAAAGGGAAAATGGCCGTCACCGTAGTTTCAAGAGTGTGAAGACTGGCATCATGCTGGAATACCAGAATGGTGCGAGTTGATTTCATATTGTGAATATACGAGGAGGGGAGAGAGGAGATGCGGGGAAAAAGGATAAGCCAGAAGGATTGTCAATCTAAGACATGGAGTGGAATTTGGCGATATCTATGTAATTGCAAATAATGGCATACCTATTGGGTTCCTGTACTTGTTACTTTCCTATAATATAGTCTATCATCAAGATGTAGTATACACGCTCGAGGCATATACTTTGTTCTAGACCACTTGCATGTGTCGCTAAGTAGCGAGCGGAAAACAAGTCAATGCTATATAAACGGATCGTATTCAAGACTGAAGACTTGGTAATTAAAATCACAGTCCAATATATTCAATTTATTCAATTTATTCAATTTATTTCCGTTCTGACCCTTGGAGTTGGAGATATTCCCCCGGATCCCAAATGTCGGGTCATCTTTCCCTTTCGGGTCACTTGAACTTCGTAAATTGATAGCCTTGGCCTTGACCTTTTCACTACGGACTACTGAGACCAAATTGTCAAATTTTCAAATTGTCACATTGTCAAATCCACTTCAAATGCCTTCCTCCCGGAAACCCAAAGTCCAAATTCTACTCTCCGTGGATTTCGATGCCGTCTCAGGCTTTCTAGGGACTGGTGCTTCGGCTACAACCAACCTGGCCGATTACAGCAGTGGCTTTTTTGCAGCTCAAGTCGGAGTGCCACGGTTATTGCGCCTCTTTAAGAAACATGGAATTAGTTCCTCGGTGACTTGGTTTGTGCCAGGTCATTCAATGGAATCATTCCCAGAAGAGACCACAGCAATTGTTCAGTCCGGCGCCGAAATCGGTTGTCATGGATATGCGCACGAGGGCTCCTGTCAAATGACTGAATCACAGGAGAGAGAGGTCATCGCCAAATGTGTGCAGCTGGCGACCGACTTGACCGGAAAGAAACCTCGAGGATGGAGGGCGCCTTTATACCAGTTGCGAACACACACCATTCAAGTTCTGGAAGAGTTTGGATTTTTATACGGTATACTTTGCTCATACCCTATATCTAGCAGGAAATACTAAATCCAGACCCAGATTCCTCTCTGACTCATCATGATTCGTCGTTGTACTTTGTCCCTCGAATGTCGGAGCCCAAGGCCATTGACTTTTCGCCTTCAAAATCTGCTTCTACTTGGATGAAGCCCCTCCCTGCCCCCGCAGCTAGGACTCCCCAAACTCTGGTGGAAATTCCGTGCAATTGGTATATGGAGGACATGACGCCCATGCAATACCTCCCAGGTTTGGAAAATTCACATGGGTTCGTCAGTCCGATCACTATTGAGCAGAATTGGAAATCGCGATTTGAGTTCCTCTACAGTGAGGCCCTTGAAAAATCCATCGAGGAAGATTCTCAGCAAGGCTTTGTTTTCCCTTTGGTCCTGCACCCAGATACCAGTGGAATGGCTCATGTGGTTGGGATGATTGACCGAATGATTTCGTGGCTCAAACAGCAAGAGGTTGAATTTGTGACATTTGGCGAGTGTGCGACAGAATGGAAAAAGAATCATGCTTAACTTTTAACATACTCAAACCATTCCGATTCTGTTGATCTACAACATGTACATACAACATAGTACATTACAAAGTAAATTGAATCTCCAGGGATTTGGTGGGGCTTATCCGCCACTCCCAATTTTCTTCTCTTCAACCATCTCATATCTTCCAAGGTTTGGCCCAGGTCCATACCATGTGAAAGTTTATATATCCAAGGAGCTCGTATGCCACGAAGAAAAGCTGCAGACCGCACAGGTCCGGTGAAGACTCGATCTCGCGATGGTTGCAAAGAATGCCGGGCGAGTCGTGTCCGATGTGACACCGAAAAGCCTCTTTGCACGCGTTGCCGGGAGAAAGGATTGCCATGCACGAAGAATCTGGTTTTAAAATGGGAATCTGAATTCATCAGTCGTGGAGTGGCTTTTGGGCGTGCGGGTGTTTGGACTAAAACTGGCGCAAATCAACCTACACACGGCTCGCTTTCTTCGGAAATGCACGAGTGGTGCCCAGTGCCGACTATTAGCTCCTGGGGTTTCATAAACAGCGGTGTGTCGACATTCGCACACCCAGATGAAGTGAACGTTGACTTCGATGAGTTGAATGCATTAATTTCAGTTGCTGAAAGCTCAAACTCACAAATATGGTCCTGGTTACGACATTTCCCACATCTCAGCGAGCTTACCGCAATTTTCAACCCAAGTCTCCCGCCGTCTCTTGCGCTGTTTCCTGAGCTATCCAAATCTGGGCACGGGGAGCTATTTGATTACTATCTCCAACAAGTATGCCCTCGCACAACCGCCAGCTCCACATTTTCTTCGCCGTTTGCCTCTGTGATTCTGCCGTTCTGCCTATCGGCTTCTCCCACGCTTTTCAAGGCCATTCAAGCATTGGGGGCATGTCACTGGTCAAGGCTCAATCCAACCTACGGTGCAATCGGCCTGCGTTATAAATCAGAGGCTTTGAGGGACCTTCGTCAGCGTCTTTCGTCGGAGGGAAGTTTGACATGCTCCATGGACCCCGAAGTACTGGTTATCATGATCATGCTATGCCTATACGAGATAGTGGACAAGTGTGATCAACAATGGACCATCCATCTCAAAGGCGCCAACGATTTAATCCGACTGCGAAGAAAACAGCAAATGACATTATCACAGCCAACGGCCCCATCGGATCCTGTGACGAGCTTTGCAGAGCAATTCTTTGCCTTTCAGGATGTCATGGGTCGAACTGCTTGTGCCAAAGAGGTCTTGTTTGGTACCGACTACTGGAAGCCGGACGAACGCAACATCGATCTTTGGATGGGATGCAGTCCTGAATTGGTCTCAATCCTGGCCAAGATCACAGATATGAGTCGAACAAGGAGACAAAATACGTCTGATGCAGACAAAGCATCGTTCTCACTACGCGCGGCGTCTCTTGAGCGCCAACTAGAGAACCTAGTCCAAGAGGTGGGTGAGGGCGATGATGAAATTCTCGCACTGGTTGCAGATGCTAAGCGGTTGGCTGCAATGCTTTACTTACATTGTGCTCTGTATGGAGCTGGTCCCACCACACCTTTGGTGAAGAATTATGTGCGCCAGATTCTGCGACTCGTATCGAACCTTCTTGACCGTAAAGCGCTGGTCAATGTGACATGGCCAGTCTTTGTGGCAGCTGTTGAGCTTGACCCATCTGATGATGAGCTCTTCCCGGACTCTGTGACGGAACCAGGGTCAGGACGAGCGATTGTGCTACGTTCCCTGGCAACAATGGCCGATTCAACTATCTCGAACATTGCTCGAACACGGGCAGTGATCACCAAATTATGGCAGACACGCGACTCAGATTTGATCAAGGGAGCTGCTCTTCAGAATCAGTGCAATGATTGGGAATGGCATGTGGTGCCAATCAGCAATGCCATGAGCCTGGCGTGACGGCATGAGGAAGAATGAGCCTGTGGAATCTCTGTACGTTAGAAAAACATTGAATGATCGATCAATTGTATTTTCCTCAGTTCAATTGTGTATCCCTATGTACAGAAAAAGTATAAAATTGTACAACATCCACATACGTGTATGTACATATGTATGTATAGACCACTCACTAGTTATGTACAGAGAAGGCTTGTCCGGATCAGGTTAGCGTATTGTCATCTGATCTCGTTAACCGCTCAGAGTCAGCGACCTGCAATGCAATGTAGACCTGACATCGATCCGAATACTGTGTATATCCTGTTATAAACTACAGCGCATGTTCTCTTCGGGCATTAGTTGTGGTGTTGACCCCATCTCTCTGCCTCGGTGCTGATGAATGATGCCCTTCACTGTGCGCCCTTGCTCTGTATCGCTAAATCAGACCAAAGTGACTTGAATCATGGCGCAGGTGCGACCTCCAGCGCCGGGGCGCAGTACATCAGCCCACGGGTTTGAAAGCAAGCTCAGTCAACAATTAGGTCAACCTCATCAATCCGACCTAGAACACCAACTTGAACCGTCGCGCTCTCCCAAGTCGCGCTCCTTATCTGATGCGTCCAGACCTACATCTTCCACTCAACCATCCACTGGTGATCTCAGTCGAGCACCAAGCAAAGACGATAATGCAGTGTCTGCTCTCCCTGCAACACCTCGAAGATCAAGTGCATCTCGCTCGAACCTCTCACTAAACTTGCCTTCCAAACCCGCCGTGTCGCCATCACTTACGAACTGCGCTCCTCTCTCTCCTAAACTCGACCCATCACATATCTACGGATCTCCGGGATCTGTTCTTCCTCGACGATCTCGGGGTCTCGACTTCTCACGCGCATGTACGAACCTCCACCATTCCACCCTAGCCGAGTCTTCCCCGGATTCATCTCCCACCGTTGGAGGGCGGGGCATGGCAATACCCCAGCGACGCGGATCACTTGGAGCGACATCCGTCCCACCCTTTTCAACATCAGGCCCAGCGGACCGTTCGACAATCTCAAGCTCGATGTCGAGTGTGAATATGATGGAGTCGGACACGAGTAGCAGCGAGGAGGAAGATGAGTCAATGGCTGATCGCGACGATGTTATGATCAATACGCCGCAGGCGACTCGCATAAGTGCGCCGAGTCCGTTTGCTAGCAATATGCAGAGCCCGGGCAACGAGTGGATGGGAGGATATTCACAAGCTGCCGCCAGCTTGATGAGTTTCCAACGCGCGCGCTTTCGCAAAGGCCGCAGTCGCCACAGCTCTAGCAGTGCGAGTGGAAACAGTACAAAGCCTAGTCCTACTCCTCACTCTCCGCCCATCATGAAGAGTGTCGAGCACTCCGGTGGTTATTTTGCCCCACGACAGACTGCGCATTCACGCAGAGAGAGCCTCAGCTTTGGCACACGCGACCTTCGTTTGTCCGATATGAGCGACGATAGTGAGAGTCGCGTGACGCGGAGTGGAAGCCCAATTCCTACTCCGCACCCGGAAGGTGGGGGTCCGCTGGGAGTAATCCGTCGCGCGGTGACCCGACGTGGGAGCTTACTTGTAAGTTGGTGCCTTTCTACTTCAGTGGCCCAGAAGCTAACTTCAGTGACAGCCGAAAACTAAGACATTTGCGCGCATTCGGGCCGCTCTGATGGAGGAGGGTGCTCCAGTTGACAGCGATATGAAACGAGAAGCAGAAGTGGTCCGGCAGGTCCGCGACACCGAACCTGAATCAACACCTGCACTCGGCGAGTTCCCATCACTGCAGCCCTCGACCTCATTTGATTCGACAGTGACAGAAGATCCCGCGGTCAAAGCGGGAATGGACACAGTATCCACGGATACTTTTGGCAAGCAAGCCAGTCGCAATTCGGGCGGCGTCGAGTTTTGGAACTCGTTCGATGGACGATACCGAACCCCACCCCCGGTTCGTCAGGGAGGTCCCTCATCTGTGGCAGATGAGGATATGTTTATGGATATGACTCCGTCCACGACTATGGGCTCTGTTACCGCGGAATCTTTCAAGCAGCGTTCCCGCTCTTCCACCCCCCATGCCCCGGGTATGCCAAGTATTGGAGAGATCTGTCGCAAGCGGCGTCGTGACGATGATTTCGATCCTAACCTTTTCAAGCGCCGGGCTGTCTCACCCAGTGTGAGTGTTCAGAGCAGTCCAGTCATGACCCACTCCAACAATGTCAGTGACATGGGCCCAAACATCTGGGGTCCGCCGCCAAAGCCGGGCCTCGGTGCACCGTTCTCAGAACGACCCAGTTCTGAATCAGGCAATCGAACGACCTCTCATGCTGGAGGTGTGAAACGCATCGGTCTGCAAGGGATGACCGAAGCCAGCGATGGCTTTATGAATATGAGCATTGATTGAAAGGAGCTTTTTGAATTTGTGATGAGAATTTCATATTCTTGTTATGCGCTCTCGGCTTTACAGGCATTTGTTTTCTCTGTTGGGGTATTCAAGAGCATGGTGTTATTTGGGTATGGATGTTTTCAAGCAAGATGCATATTCTTTATTCCAGCGAGTTTCGAGATACCTCATGGCATATTATTTTACGAATCAATCCACTTTACAGAAGGTCGATCTCTAAACTTACATAGTTCTGGATGTATACATAGTAGGCCACGTGCTTATCGCTCTCCGCCTCCGACTCCGACAGCTCTCTTTCTCTCCGCAGACTCCAGACCCTCACCACTTCCAAGCTCCAGTATTACCAAGGTCTTCAATTGCGCTTCAACCTCTTGCTCAATATTTAATACCTTGATCATATTTTCGCCATGGCTTCCACTGTTGAACTGGCATCCTCCTTCATCGAGGGTGCCCCGCCCGGAGAGGTATGCACATCAACAATGACCCAGGATCCCCCATTCCCCTCGTCATCGCCCGCCTGAAGCCTGGGGTGATCACTGACATCTTTTTCTTCAGCTCGCAGATGTCGTCGCCGGTAAATCACCCTCTTAGCGCTACACTGCCTGTCCCCATCCCCGCAACTCTGACACTTGCACGAACGGTGATGCTGATCCCTACTACTTGATTAGATGTGCAAGCCTTGACTGAAGGGGAGGATATCATTCCCTCCCTTCTGCCCGCGTTCAAACGGTACAACGAGGCGCAGCTCGCAGCGGTGAAATTGCCGGGATCAAGTCAGGAGGTGGGTTTTGCTCGGGAGTGGTCTATGTCTGCGGTGAAGCTGACTTTTGCTGGGAAGGTCATTGTTAGTGGGTTTAACGAGCTCGAAGACAACCGCTACTTCGACCCGGAGAGCCAAATCTCGTTCGAAGTCGACCACACCACACAGGTAGGTTTCACCTGGCCAGCTGGGGCGGTACGTTGAAGGCTTACCGGTTTGCACCATGGCGATAGACTGCCTCTGCGGCACAATCATATGCGTTAGAGTCAGATCATGCGGACTTGATGTAAGAAAAGGTGTTGAAGTCTTGGTGGTATTCCGCTTACCGTGTTTAGCAAATCGCTGCTCAAATCATTCGGTGTTCATGCCCGTGAACACTACCCCAACTGCTCATATGGTGTCTACCCTATTGAGAATGACACTGTCATCGCCATCGTCTTGGTGGCCAACCGATACTCCCCCAACAACTTCTGGTAAGTGATTACACTCTACAATCAACATTTTGCGTGGAAACTAATCGTCATGGACGCTTCCCTGTCTCGGGAGGATTGTCTGTTATACCATAATAGGAACGGTCGTTTCCGCGCGATCTACCAACTTCCTGTCTCCTCCTCGTCCTCTACCCTGACTGGCAATATCCACGTTGACGTGCACTACTACGAAGATGGCAACGTGGCCCTTAACACTACTAAGCCTGTCAACATTTCCATCGCCTCCGTATCCGCCGAGTCGATTGTCTCGCGGATTGCTGCTGCGGAACGCGATTATCAGGAAGCGCTGAACCGGGCTTTCGTCCAGACATCCGAGGGCGTGTTCAAGGGTCTCCGGAGACAGCTTCCCATTACGCGACAGAAAGTGGAGTGGGAGAAGGTCGGTGGATATCGCCTGGGCCAAGATATCTCGGGCGGCAAAGGACGGTAGAGCAAACTTGGGAAATATTATCGAGTGGGTGGTTTAATGAACCTGCTTGCGGTGAATAGCTGATGGACTGATATATCCCTACTATTTTGCAAGCATTGTCTCATTTCGCGGTCAATTGTTTCGTTCTCATGGTTTGCGACGATAATCAAATGTAATTTGTTTTTGTAGGACCTGTAGCTTGATGTATATCTCCAACAACACACAACTACCAGCAAACTTCAACCACGCTTAGAGCACACCCAGATGAACTACTATTGACGATAATTAATACCCTGACCATACGCAAAATAATTCATATGGATACATTGATTTTCGAATATGCAAAGGCTGAATAAGCAAAATTACTAGTGCAGGTGAGATCCATTAGCCCGCTTCCAAGCCTTTGACACACAATTCCCACTCCTATCCCTTAAGAGTGTATCGTCCCCAGAGCTTGTAGCAGTGCTGTAATGATGATTCAACAATTTTCTCGCTTCGTCAAATCGGGCGCTGGTCTTGAAAAGACCCTACGTCTGATTCAATGTGTGTCGCAAGTCGTCGCTGCACTCACCGTGAGCAGTGCACTGGCCGTGCAATTGACCACGGTCAAGCTGCAATTGGCACTGGGTAAGTTGAATTTCACATTTGATGGATAGCTATACATTCCAATTGATTGTCATATGCTGATTCTGGGTTCATTGTGTAGCGCGGAGATATTTCCGCTTCTTTGGGTTCATTGACTCCTTCCAGCGCATGTCTGCATTGCTGGGCAAGGATGGCTTCAGTTCTGTGGCTGGAATGCTTGAACTAGCTGAATCCACTTGTTTTGGCCTTTACTTTGTCCTGGAAGACCTGACCACAGTATGTTATTTACCGCCTCCCCCCGGTGAATAGGACTAACGAAGGGATAGCTTCATGCAATGGGCGTCTACGCAGCGCCCTGGAATGATCGTGTTATGGACCAGGCCAATACTTTCTGGTTCTATGCACTGTCTTTCTCTGTTGCCGGAGCTATGTGGGCGCTTCTTGTCGGTCCCGCGGAGCAGCCTTCTAAGAAGAACGGCAAGAGAAAGAACCAGAAGACCGCCTCTGAGAAGGCTACTCCGATCGAACCAACTGCTGCCTCTGCCCGGGTCAAGCAGATCGTGGTGGATAGCTGTGATTTGCTCATCCCGTTGGAGCTTCTGGGCTGGATGCCAACCGGGGATGTGGTGGTTGGATCGACCATGGTGTTGAGTACACTGCTGACTGCTCAAGAGATCTGGGCCCGAGTGTGATTGGAATGTAGATATAGCGTCATTGGTGTGCTGATAGACATAGAAATTAGAACTTGAATCCCAAGATGTATAGATTCATGCCAACATACCAGATGATGGCCATGAGGGACAAAAACACACACACACCAATACAATGCGACTGAGGATGAATATAGCAAAAGCAAAAAAGTAATGGACTCGCGGGGAATCGAACCCCGGACCACTCCCATGCTAAGGGAGTATTATACCACTAAACCACAAGCCCAGTTTGATGGAACGGACTGCTCCTTAGTGGCTGAAGAGTAAACACGATAAGGGACGCGTTTAATGCGGATCTTAGCCAGAAGGGGGTGTCACTACACCAATAAAGTGCCAGCAATGTTAGGAGTGGATCCTGATCGTCCCGGGATACCCCATTAGGAAGGGAGTCGGTATCAACAGATCGGAGGTCGGAGGTCGATGCCACTGTACTCTTCTGCATTCGTGGCGCGAAAGTGGACGGCATCAAATCCGATATAAGTCGACGTAGATCTATGTATCAGGCGACGGCAGTTCACCTTGGGACTGACAAACATTATTGCTGCATCCACCGTTCACCAGCATAGGTGCTTCTCGCCCCGTCGTGGCCTGTAAGAGTATCTTTTGCCTTGGGACATATTGATCCATTGGCCCGATCGCTTGTTGGCACTAAAGTTGGAACGTTGTCCGCAGAGCTGCATTGCCCCACTGTCCTGTGTGAGAAAATGTGGGCTATGCAAGTGAGGCTCAGCAAGTCCAGGCATGAAAAGTAGCGAATGAATGAAGAAAGCTGTCTGATGATCTCCGACGTCATGGAAACACGAGCGCCAAGAAATGGAACAAAGTTCGATTGAAACCATGGAACTGGACAGCCCGAAGCCCAAATAGGCAAGTCTCGTATTGAAGAAGACAAATATACATACACCGTGGACTGCTGATGTCTCTGAGATAGAGTGGTTATTCAGAGTCATTCAGAGAGTCGTCCAGAGCCAAATCACCTTGACAATGACCATCACAACCATTCTTGATTATTCTAAGCCAAAGGAAGTGGAGATTCACTCCTCAGCCTTGTCTACGAGATCCAACAGTACTCTAAACACACTCATCGAGAGTCCATCCTCCTTTTACCCATCACGCATTTTAACCATTAATGCGCAAGGCATTCGCGCTTTTCGTCTCCCACTGCCGTCTCGCCAAACTGAGATCTTTATCTACAATCAAGACGGCACCAAGGCCTACGTCTCCACGCGCGACAAACGTCGCTCAGGTCAGGCGACCCTGTCACACCCAGAGCGCGGAAGTCTTATACGAACTGACTACTTCTTCGGTCCGAGCCGTGATCCTGTTGTGCACCTGCTTCAACTTTCCAGTGACATTCCCGAGGAAGTGACCGTCACTGGAAAATGGACCTCCCGCACAACGCGCTTTGGTATGCCCGGAGGTAAACAGTTTGAATGGGAATATGCCAAGGAAAAAAGGGCAGATGGGCAGAAGGTCAATCTGATTGTTTTTCGTGCAGTGGAGGAAGAGAAGGGCAAGAGTAAAGAGACTCAGGGTCGCAGGATTGCACAGCTAGTTCGAGGAGAGGATTCTCGGACACCCGGCACATCGCGATCTTCTGCGGGCAATGGGGGTGAATTGCAGATTGATGAAGCTGCGTTACAGTCCCTCGAACTGGAGGAAGCGGTCATTGTTGCAACTTGTTTGATGATGTTGAAGAAAGAGATTGACCGACGGAGGATGATTCAATTTGCAATGATCGCGGGAGCTGGTGGTAGTTGAGATTCATGAAAGTTTGGAGGGTCTGTGTATTTTAGTTATCTCAACGCTAGTATCTATTTTCTATCGGATATTTGGATATCTTCTTTTCGAAACTTTTATAAGCACAAGTCCTCCAATTGTTTGGGGTCAATTGGCCTTCTCGTTCAACAATTCGGAGATGTGGTCATTAAGCCAGTACCCGCTCAACTCGTCGCTGGACATGGTCTTGGCCCCGGAGATCCAGCCTCTGCAGATCCCGTCCCCTGCCCCGCAGGTACACTGGAATGCCTGGTCCATATCCCACTCAGTGCTGGGGTAGAAGAAGGTGAGGGCATCACCTGTCTTCAAAGGACGGTCGTCCGCGACCCGGACCTCCATGCGGTGCATGTCGAAGACCAATGATGGTGCGCAGGAGTGGTTGCAATAGACAAGGTCGGAGTTGAGTTCAATGTGGGTGTCGCGGCCGGTTTGTACGCTCGTGTAGGCTTTCTTTCCGGGAGTTGCCGTAGTGATCTTGGCGAAGAGGGCGCCCGCGGGGAGGTCAACGAGAGAATAAGCTCCGCTTGCAAATGCTTTGGTACTGCGTTCAACACGCAAACATTCGGGATGGGTCGGAGGAGGGAAGTTGGCAAAGGCGGGCGTCACGGGAATGGGATCGGCGGATGGGGCCATAGTGACGGAGGGATTGAGAAGGGGATGGGGTATAATAGGAGGATATGAGGGAGGATAGAAGAATAGAAGAATAGGAGAACAGGAGATGGAGGAGAAATACTTGGGGGTTTTATTGGGGTGGAGATGATGTACAGATAGAGACAGCATCCCACATTGTTCCCTTCAACCGAGGTCGTTCCGCGCGGAAGACCGAGGCACAGGCCTCTTGGAACAATTAATTAATTGTCTCAAACTAAAGTATTTAACTATGTAGATATTTTAGACATTTAGACTCGTGAACGTGGACCTCTAGCCGGTGGTCGTACGCATTCGTCATTCGGTGAGCCTCCACATGCAGAACAAGACCACATTCTCGGCTTTATCGAAATGCTAAGGGACTGGGGTAAATGTACTCTGCACAGTCTACCCAATTGAACTATTTAAGAAAAGCTGAAAGCATCAACACAATCCTTGTTCGGAAATCCCGACTTCTCGGAATGTTCCTGATCTGCATGCTTGTATTTTCACCCTTTCTAATGTTGAACTCAGTTCATTTTATATTTGTCTATTGGCCGTCAGTTCATCTTATGTAGTAGCTCCTGTCCATTTAACCATCGCTCCAAATTCTCGGCTGTTTCGCGATACCACCCCCGCAATAGCTCCTCCTCTCCATATCCCATGTGAGGGGAAAGCAGAACTTCACTGCGTCCATCTTGTCCCCATGGAGTAGTACGCCAAGGGCTATCGAGAGGCAATGGCTCGGGGTCAAAGACATCTAACGCGGTGCCACGAATGCGGCCCGCATTCAAGGCCTCGAGGAGGGCCTGCTCCTCAATTAAGGGCCCACGTGAAGTATTGATGATAAATGCAGATGAGCGCATTTTTGCTATTTCAGTCGCACCAATGATTCCACGGCTTCGATCCGATAGCACACTGTGTACACTAACGATATCGGCATGTGCGAAGAATTCCTCTTTAGACGCAGCGACGGCAAATGTCCCCGCTGGCAGACCCTGAGCGTGAGCTTGCTCGTCCGCCTTTTCCTGTGTCAAATTTGTTGACCATGCGAGAACATTCATCCCAAACGCCAGAGCGCCAATCTTTCCTACTTGTGACCCGAGTTTTCCCAAGCCAAGCAGCCCCAGCGTCTTCCCAGACAAGTTGATCCCAAGAGAGCCTTGCCATGCACCACGTTTGACAGCTGCATCGTCGCGTGCTATATTCCGAGCAAGTCCTAAGATCAAAGCCCATGTATGCTGAACCGTCGAATTCACACCGGGTGGGCGGCCTTCGGTGCCTGCGACGGCCACATTGGAACGTGTAAATGCCTCGAGATCTAGCGCCAGATTGCGGGTACCCGTGGTCAAAAGGAGTTTCAAATTGGGGAGGACGGCAATTGTCTTGGCTGCAAAAGGTGTTCGCTCACGCATCGCCAAGATAACATCGAAGGGAAGGAGCCGTTGGATAAGAGCATCATGTTGTGCAGGATCGCGGGGGTCGAGGGTTTCGGGAAAACTGGAAATATCGACTCGCGACTCGAGATGAGTAAAATAGGCAGGCGCAATGCCTTGATAATCGTCAAGGATTGCAAACTTAAGTTGAGCCATTGTCAAATTGACAGATGAATAAGAGAGAGAGGGGGGAAGAGGATCAGCGGGGAAGGAGGACTTCTCTGGGGAAATGACGTTCCTGGCGGCTTATTTATCCACTCAACTATTAGTAGGTGAACATATGCATATGTTCTACATGCATTTTGATTTAACTATGTTCGAAAAGACATAGGCATTGAAGTAGTATGTACTTCAAGCTTATCGCATTTTGGTAAATGTGCCATAGGTATATACATGTAGGTACACATTTATCTTTCCAAAAGTAGATCTATATGAACCTTGCTTATTGTGAAACTGGATCCCTCATCATCAGGAAAAAGGACTCTTGCCCAACACCACCAAATCGTGTATAGTCCATAACCACCTCCTCTAATATCTTCCACCCGTGCTTGAGGTAAACGGGAACACCCTCGGGCGTACCCTCGAGGAAGATGCGTGACTGGGAGGCATCTGCCTTTTCCATGCCCCATTTCAAGATAGCAGAACCAAAACCTCTCCCTTGATATTCCGGCAGGGTGGCTAGCAGATCGAGGACTAGTGAAATATTTGAGCAAAAAAGCCCCTGTCGGGGATTTGGGGGCCACTTACTGATATCGTTCTCTGTCGTGTATCGCTTGCGACTATCCTCTAGGAGCTTTTTGAAGGCATTGAAGACACCCTCATTCATTGGTCGGGGTGCATGTGGAATGGTGTCCTTTGCAAAAAAGGCCGCTTTTTCACTTAGGGTAACCAGACTCGGACCAAATGATGCTGGAAACTGCCAACGGCTGTAGGTCGCCAGTTCCCCACTGACTGGATCATGAATCTTGAGGACGTGCATATTGGGGTTGGCAAGATGTTTCATTCCCACAACTATTTTGTATTCCTGCATTCTGCTCAGGGTGGCCCCTGGGAAAACTTCTTCGAAGTGACGGCGGCCTTGAAAGCTTTGCACATTGACTTTGGCAAGTCCTGGTCCATCGGCCTCGGTGGCATATTTGATGAGATCCATGACCCTTTCCGTAGATGAAAAAAAGGATGGAAAACGAAGGATAAAGAGGATATCCGGAGCCTTACGGAGCCCCGAAGAAGATATAGCCCGAAAGCTTGGAGGAGTGAGTCAAGGGACGCTATTCCCCTTCGGTACCCCGGGGTTCCCCCGGATTTCCCCACTAACTCAGCTCGATTCGATTTCAAGAAGTATCGTTTTTATAGCTATGTGTAGGTAGTACTTCGTAACTATATCTTTATTTTTATAGAACCTTTCGCTTTCTGACCTCCAGCTTTGCATCTGGATCACTCAGCATTTCAAACCCCATCTCGACAATCTTGGGTGCCATCCCGTCAGGAATCCTGACATCGTAAGTCAAAAGAATCTTAGCGAGAGCAATCTTGACTTCGTTGCTAGCAAAGAATCTCCCAGGACAGATTGGCTTGCCAATTCCAAAAGCAATATGCTCCGGGCTCGTGGATGCCAGTGCTGCCGCAGTATTACCAGATTTGCGAAGACGAAGAAAACGGCAAGCGTCATAAGAGAAGGGATCGGGGTAGATCGCTGGATCCCACATCATGGATGAATCAACGGCGACATTCGTTCCGCGAGGGATAGTCAAGCCATTGGGAAGAATAACATCTCGCAGAGCTTTTCGCTCAAGATTTACTGTGAGGAGTGAGTTTACTATCTTGAGAGTGCTGATGAGTTTCCAGAACCAGACACGTACCTAACAATCCCGGTTTGAGCCGTTGCGTTTCCTTTACTGCGCTGTCCAACAGCTGCATCTTGAAGACGCCTGCAGTTGTCCATCCACTCTCCTCGATGGCTTTCTGTGCTTCATCTCGTAGAACTGGAATGAGATCTGGGTGCATACAAATATCCAGCAGGGCCTGCTTGAGTAGCTCAGAAGTTGTGTGCATTGCGCTTATCGCAAATGCGATTTGCGCTGCAGCAGCATCATAGGGGCGTCCGGCAGCGATTTCTTCAAGCCACTGTATGGTATCCTCGAAGTTTCCTATCTTATTAGACTCAATAGAGTGAGTTTGCCCATACGCCCTACGGTCGAAGATTGGCTGCAACATAAGACGAGCAAGATGAATTTGCTGGCGGCATTTTCTGAGTTCTGGCAAGAACCAATGAACCAATGGACGAAGAAAGGCCGGCAAGGCGCGGAGAGATCGAATCCCCATAAAGGTATTCATGGACGAAGTGAGAATTAGCTCTTGCCACTTAGGATCACGAGCTAAATCCGGGCCGACGAAGACAGATGCTGACATCCGCCCGATGAAGCGGACTGCGTGTTGACACCAATCAACCGTGTGCCATTCTGAAGAACAAGTCAGTTAAGCGTTCTAACACAACGTACCGAAGACCTACCATCGCGATCCATCCAGATCTCTTCAAGAGCCTCCGTAAGATGTTCATGAAATAGCCCGCACTCTGTGATGGAAGACCATGTTAGTGAGACTCCAATGTGAATCATGGGCCCTGAAGTCGTCACGTACGACTGCTCTGATTGTTCAATTTAGTTTTAGTGACATTGATGAGAATTTTTCTGGGATCAGTGACAACCCTCTGTCCTTCCATGCCGGGGTATGCCGCGAAATATTGCTGTATAAAATCATGTCGTCAGTTACCATCTCTCGTTAGTAAGGGGAACTACAACCTACATCGTGGACAAGCGCTTGATGATCTAGATCCGGACAGTTCTTCAGCCACTCTGTATAAGATGCTGGGAGGATCACCCGAGACCCAAGATTGGTTATGATGCGAAATGGGCCGTTAAACTAAAGCGTGTACATTAGACGCAGCGTTTTTGTAGGAAAGATACTCAACTTACCTTCTGAATTCCTTCCTTGATCAAACCCCTGGCATCTGACATGAATCTTGACTGAGCCTTTTTCAAAGTTATATCGCCAGAGTATGAGTTGACAATCGGTATTGTCGGTTCTCCCATCCGGCGCCATGTGAGGACAACGAGGAAGCTCAACAGGGCTGTCGACAGAAGATATATGACAGAAACGTCTTCTACGAGAGAGCCATCTGAGTAAAAAGCGAGATATGTCATTATTGCTTGAGACTTTTGCCCCTATCAGGAGTAAATTGTCTAGGCAAGGGATCATTTAAGTATGCGATGAGAATATAGATACCAGTCACGTGCACATCCCTTTTGGGTGCCCTGGATCCGTCACGATGAATAAGAATGAGTCACCACAACATTATACTAACTTAGATATGGGTCTGGTAAGGACGATAAATTCCACCGCCTTTTAAATCAAAGAGGTAAATACAGGTGATCTGTACAAGTATCTGCATAAAACGAACCAAAACCCAATAGATACATATACTTCTGGGAAATTCTCAGACCAATTGGCTACCTTTAAGCAGCAGTCTTGGCAAATGTCTTCAGAGAATCCTCACTGCCATTCCAAATTTCCGAATCACCTCCGAAGCGATACGCATCTGAGTTCTGCCAGAAGCTCTGGAAAGGCCAGCCGCCGGGGATAGTGCCGACCGAAGTGCTGTATCGAGCCAGAACCAACGGGTAGTCCTGACTGAATGCTGTGCTGCCACCGGTGCAAGTGTTCCACCAGTCAGCAGTTGTATAGATCATAGGGTACCGGCCAGCGGCGCTCTTGTAGGTTTCGCCAAAGTCCTTGATCCAGGAAACCATGGCTGAATGGCTGAGCCCATAGCAGGTTGCGCCGGACGGGTTGTATTCAATGTCCAGCATGCCGGGCAGGGTCAGGCCGTCACCGGACCAACCACCACCGTGGGCGATGAAGTATTTGGCTTGTGCGGCACCGGTGCTACTGTCGGGGTGGGCAAAGTGATAACCACCACGGATCAGACCGGCGCTAGTGGCACCCTGGTATTGGCTCGAGAAAGAGCTAGAGATAAAGCTGGTGCCCTCAGTCGCCTGATATAGTTAGTATAGTGATGGAGAAGGATTCTAGCGACTCTGGGAAAGCTCGCCTTGATCATGACGAAGCGGGCACCGGCTGCATAAGCACCGGCAAAGTCCACTTTGGGCTGGTAGCCGGAAATGTCGAAGCCTTGGACACTGGCGCTGGCAGCGGTGGCGAACAGGAGAGGGAGGGCGTTAATCTTCATGGTGAGATTGGGAGTGAGACTCAGATCGTCAATGGAGAGTGTATTGAGTGAGTGCAAGTCAGTGATCAAGATTTTGGGAAGGGAATTGGGGGATTATTTATGTGTTTTCTAGGCAATGAAGCTTCATGTAGTTGCAACCTTGGGGACCATAAAATCACACGGTCATGCAGTAGCAAAACGTTGTAAACACGAGGGTCCATTTCTCCCATTCCACTTCAGGTATGTATAATGTAGATCGGTTCCTGTATGTTGTTTTACACATTTCAAGATTGCGCTGGTATATAGCATCCGGGGAGTTGCCATGGCTCAGGGGATTTGGCGTATGAGGAATAGTACCTACCAAATTGATCAGATATTGGCAATTCAACTTGGGGTTTGCTCATTGAACATTTGAATATGATCATAGACCCGGTAGGACCTCGGGAGAGTCCTAAACGGAGTATGTAGTGATATACGAGGGAATGCAAAGTAACCCTAAAATTCCCAAGATAAGCCTGATGAAACCTGGATAAGATAGAATTACCAGATCTGCGTGAATACGGGAATAAATATAGAACAATCGAACAGTCGAACCATCGAATTAATAGAATCTCGCAGAATGATAACTCTTTCGGCCATCGGTGCTTCGCCTATGTAAGCGAAAGTAACCCCAAAGATGGGGCTAAGCTCTTCTCCCCACTTTTCATATCTTCCCTTCTCAATACCTACAGTACTATGAACGTGTGCTTTTCTTCAATAACAATTGGTGGCTGTGCTCGGGAAATGGATAGCTCAAGTGACCCCCGACCATGAGCACATCTGGAAATAAGGATTTCCGCGATCAGCTGGGAAAGTTCCGCTTGGATTCGATTAATACTACCCCAACCTGGTCTCAGCCACCTCCGGTTCATCATGAGCCTATAGATATTTCGGGTCAAGCTCGCAGCAAACGAGTATCGACTGCCTGTGACTTTTGTCGCAAAAGGAAGAAGAAATGCGACTTTCGATACCCCAATTGTTCCGCCTGCACCCGCGCCGGAGTCCGATGCACCATACCCCCGCCCGGTCCTCAAGTCGCTAGCGCCTCCGTTCCCCGAGATCAGCTGGAGAATCTACAGAAACGAGTGCAATGGTTGGAGGAGGTTGTCCGCCGCAAGTCGGGTCTCTCGGTATCGGAATTGCCGACGGGAACACCAGTCGATGGCGAGGGAGATCCGGATTGGTGGTATCAGGTGCCCGCTATGATTGCGACCGGGGGTAATCGTCCCACCTCAATGCCGAGCCCTGCCGGCAGTGGTGTTTCGTCCGCAACTGCAGGTCCCTCGGAGGCGTCGCCGGGAGTAGGCACCGAACTCCCTAATATCGGCGAGATCTTTCGCGATCAGCTAGAGCATCGCCGACCGTCTGTTGCACGACCTTCCTCCGCGCCGCGAGTCATGCGCTTGTCGTCGCTGGAGGAAGCGGAACGGCTTACCGGACAATATTTCGATAGTATGGGATACCAATACCCGTTCCTGTCCCGTCCGGAGTTTATGGCCCATCTGCGCCATATCTATACGGGTGGTGTTCCATCGCCGGAAACTCATCACTCTTATCATATTGTCATTGCCATTTCGCTTCTCATTGGTTCAGCGGACCCGGCCCAGGCAGCTGAATTTTACCATGCTAGCCAGGAGACACTCCCACTGGCATTGCAAAATGAAGACTTGCCGGCTGTGCGGGCACTGCTGGGATTAGCGTTGTATACCATGTTTGCGACTGCTGGTCCCAGCATTTGGCATGTGCTGGGTGCAACAATGCGCTTGTCGATTAGTATGGGTTTGCACAAAGCGCGGTCGTATCCTAGCATGGCCGAGGAGGAGATGGCCAAGCGCGCATTTTGGAGTCTTTACAACCTGGATCGCCTCATCGCTAGCACCTTAGGTCGGCCATTGGGAATTGCCGACGACGATATTAGTGTGGGTCTACTGCGAGAACTTAATGACGATGAAACCGAAGCGCCTGGCGCCAGCGCGATGACGATCCCCTTGCAGGTCACACGTCTGCGGCGGATATTTTCGCGCATCTATCAATACTGTAAGTGAAGCTTTTTGAGTCTCACCTGCTTTTTCTTTCCCTCTGACCGTTTCGCTTGTAGTATATAGCAGCCTGCCACGACTGTCACCCCAAGAAGCTACCGCCGCGCTCAGTCAATTCCGCCATGAGGTTGATGACTGGCGCATGACGGCTCCAGTATATCCATCGGCACTTCTCTATTCTACCTCTTATTACGATTATCTCTATTACACGACAATTCTCTTGATGTACCGGCCCAGCCCACGCAATCCTACGCCCGACATTATCAGTATCATCAGCTGTGGTGAATCCAGTATCCAAGTCATTCGATCCTATTGGGACAGCTACTCAGTTGGCAAGCTAAAATGGATCTGGCTAACACTGAGTCAAGTTTATTTTGCTGGTATCACTATCTTGTGGTGCCTTGAGCAGAATGCGCGCTCATTGCGCGAGTCTCAGCCTGCCCCGTGGCACCCTGAAGAACAGCCGATGCGACGTGGTATTCAGGCTGTTGTGGTACTCTTGGAAGAATTTGGCAGGCGTCGTCCTGGGGTGGACCGTTTGGCAGAGACATTCCGGCACCAGAGCACAGTGATTTTCAGCCAAATGGCCTATCAGCAACAATTAGAACAGCAGCAACATCACCATCACCCACAACCACAACCGCAACCACCGCCACCACCTCCACCACCTGCACTTCTCCCACCCCATCCAATGTCTTTGGCCGCACCCCCTCCACCTCCAGTCCCACTTGCTCCAGTTCTCGACGACGTGTTACTCGTGGATGGCAGTGGGACTGTCCCAATGATCGATCCACAGATGGCCGAACAACTCTTCTATTCATACAATTGGTTCCAAGAGGAGATGGCATCATACTATACCCTTTGAACGAATCTCTTTCTCTGTATTTAAACCGTGCTCTGTTGGAGATAGACGGAGTTTTCCATCGGGCCAGGCTTCTTGTTTTCATGTTGATACTTTGCGAGTTTTTCACAAGTAAAAAGCAGAAAAGACTGATCGGATTAAGAATCATTTCGATATGTGCGACATGATCTCTTATATAGTTCATGGTCACCTACCAGGATGAAAGTGGATTGGTACATACAATTAAGAATCCCACTCAGTTGAAAGAAATAGACTCTTTAGATTTGAAGCATAGCAGGCTTATTCTTGGATTTTTGCTACAATAAAGAGCATCACAATCACAGGTTGTTGACATTCAGGCTTCTACCTGCTGGGCAGCTGGGCAGCATGTGCCGATTATTAATTTCCCCATCACCTCCAGCGCTCTTGCATCTCGATCTCCCTTCTACATCTTTCGGGACTACAGCCATCATAATAGAATCATTACTGGCCGTCGTTCCTTTATCTTTTGTATATCATGGAAGAAGTCGACAAGAACGCCAACCCGGTGTCTGAGCTGCCCCTCGGCTTCCATGGCACTGTAATCCATTCCCGAAGTCTGGATGACCTTGAGATCCTAGAGAATTGCATTGTGATTGTGGGAACAGATGGCAAGATTCAGGCGCTACAAGCAGATGTGGAATCGGATCGGATCAACTCGATCGTCTCAGAAAATGGCTATGTGCCCGACGTTTTCCCAGTGAAATATCTCAAGCGCGGGGAATTTCTGTGCCCCGGCTTTGTTGATACTCACAACCATGCACCCCAGTGGGCACAGCGCGGTGTCGGAAGAGGGATTTCCTTACTCGACTGGTTGGATAATGTCACTTTTGCCCACGAGGCCAAGTTCCAAGATCCGGAATATGCCAAACGCATGTACGCCTCTTGCGTGACGGGCTTTTTACAACAGGGCATCACCACCGCATCATATTACGGCTCACATCATGGGCAGGCAACTCAAATTCTGGCTGATGTCTGTTTTGAAAAAGGCCAGCGCGCTCTGGTGGGCAAGTGTAACATGAACCGGAATGCCCCGGACTGGTATCGGGATCCGTCAGTGTCCGACTCGCTGCATGAAACGCGTGAGCTCATTCACCATGTTCAGAAACTTGATCCGGAATACCATCTGGTGAAACCAATACTGACGCCACGCTTTGCGATATCTTGTGAGCCGGAATTACTCGATGGGCTTGGTGTCATCGCCCGTGAACATCCCGATCTCCCAATACAAACACATTTTAATGAAGCAAAGCAGGAGATCGCATTCACGAACCAGCTCTTTCCGGAGTTCGATACAGAAGCTGATCTCTATCAGCGATATGGTCTGTTGAATGATCGATCCATTCTTGCCCACTGTATATTTTTACAAGAAGGAGAGATGCGTCGCATCCAGGAACTTCGTTGTGGGGTTGCCCACTGCCCAATCGCCAACACCACTATGCAAGAGTTTATGGTAGCACCTGTGAGAGAGTATCTGCGCCGCGGTATCAAGGTGGGACTGGGAACTGATAGTGGTGGTGGCTACTCATCATCCATACTGGATGCCATGAAACAGGCATTCATTGTATCGAATGCGCAGCAGATGCTGACCCAAGGACGGGATCCTGCGCTTTCTTTACGCGAGGGCTTCTTTCTCGCCACTCTAGGTGGTGCGCAAGTGTGTGGTCTCGACGACCGAGTTGGTAACTTTGCAGTTGGCAAAGAGTTTGATGCGCTCGAAGTTCATACCACTGATCTTGGCCAAGCAGGAGTCATGAGCCCAGTCGAAGATGAAGATACCATCCAGGTGATATTTGAGAAGTTTCTGATGACTGGGGACGATCGGAATATTGCCAAAGTCTATGTGAGCGGACGGTCGGTCAAAGTTTGATGGTCAGTCTTAATTTATGAGCAATGAGCAATGAGTAATGATATATTGATCAGGTACAATGTGAGATAAATGCCAACCCCCCGTAGCCCAGTCCGCAGGGGTATCCAAAAGACCATTTTCGACGCCTGTGTACCCAAGATATTGTATACTAAGAATAAGAGACGCGAAGTGTACTCAACGAACAGTGATTACGGCAATATATGGAGGTAGAAAGAGGCCAAAATGAAGCCGCGATAAAGCTTTCCTAATCACTCCCAAGTTCCCTTCGGGGGGCCAAAGTAGCCACGCGCTGGTAACCCCATGTAGGGCGTGCCTTTGCCGTCGGCTGTTGTTTTGGATACGATATTTCCCCACCAGCTCAACGAACCGGCCGGGAGAGTTACGCAAAAGAAAATGATTACCGTCGCGACTGCAACGCCGCAGTCTAGCGCTGCGGATAACACATAATCTGTGGACGGTCAGAAAAAGAAGCAATAATGAACGAGAAACAATAAACATACTGTATTTTGACCACCACGCGGGCTTGCGGCGACGGAGTACGCCATTGAATATCAAGTTGACTATCCACCACGAGGAGAAGCTGATACCTGTAGCGGGTGGGACAAGACTCATTGCACCAAAGGCGACTGGCCAGGAGACGTAATTGACAGCTTTCCAACGACGACCTAGAAGATAGGTAATGACTACCGCCGCAGGTCCGACCAGGAAAAACCAAAGCAAATTGCTATATATCTGCCCCGAAGAAAACAATCGGCCTGGACCAACAGCACCTGAAGGTTGATTAGCTGTATGACCTGGCAGAACATCGACAATAATATGGAACTCACCCCAAATGAGAGACGAAGAGTATGTAACCTTTCCGTGAGGGCAGATGAAATTCCCCTCGGCCTCGGGGGTGCACACACCGTCAATTCTGGTGATCATGAACACTGTCACACCACATTGGACGATAGCTCCGATGAGTGTGGCAAGGCCCTGAGCTACAAACAGGAGCCGTGGGGCGATGTGCATATAATGAGCCAATTTCATATCGGCGACAAATCTAATAGGGCGTATGGTGTTAATTCGTGTCAATTCCGTCTCGGGATAGTAGGTAACTCACTCGAGTCCTTGCTGGACTGCGACATAACCATAGAATTTGAAAGTCATGTTTGCTACTGGCTGCCCGAGGAAGGCATACCCGCCAATGAATTCCGTGAGCAGGTTAAGTTGGTTACTGCTGATATTTGTGAGGGCTTGGATGACCCCGACAGGGATAAAATATACCGCTGGTAACACGAATGCCACAAGCACACCCCATGCCGGTAGGCCTGTATGCCAGACCTCGTTGGTCACAATGCTCAAGACAAACATCAGGACAGTAACTGCGGCAAACCACCACCAGGGTACAGCTCGATATGAAGACATCAGTCGACTATGGACATCTTGTTTGCTGGTCCCTTTCCATTGTCGCCACAAGTCTTTCCCATGGTATAATGCGACGTGGAAGAAGATGCCCGTCAAGTTAGCAAAGGCAACACCGAATGTGATTGCAAAGCCAGCCGGTAAAAACATGGGCGAATAGTCCCGATAAGCAGTTTCGTCGATACTCCCACTCGAGCCCATGATGCGACTGGTGTTGTAAGGAATTCCAGTATTATCGAAGGTGTCGGAGTTGAGCAGTGGCAGGTGTGCAGAATACCAGGTGTTGGTGTAGTAAATGAGCGGGCACACAAGCCAAAAGAAGAGGGCAAATGATCCCATCACGTTAAGGCCAGCCCAGAAGGGAACAAGCAGGGGGCTCTGATTGGCGAAAACCACCTGAGCCCAGTCGAAGGTCAATACCGACATCCCTAGTCCGGTGGTTTGTCCAAAGAGCTGGTTCACCACCACGTTGGATGGCACGATCCAGCAGATGAAAGCGAAGGTGCTGAGACCCGTAAAAAGATATCCCGGGACAAAGTACCAGATGGCGCCACAGATGAAAACATAAAGAAAGAAGCGGAGACGTGTGATCCGCCAGCCATCTGCGATAACATTGGAGCGAGAATGGAGAGTGGTCAAAAGTGCTGCGTTTGACAGCACCTGCGGCCAAAGCATCGACGCCGGGCCAACTAGCCAGCGCGAGGCCATGCCAGCTAAGCCGAAGCCAAACAGTTGCGTGGTAATACACAATAAGACTTCAAATCCACCCTGCGATGGCATGTTATAGAACTTGACAATCGCTTCGATAACTTGGGTGGCAGCAGCAGACCCAATAGAGACGTTGGCCATGATTGTGATCAATGCATGCTCCTTGACATTGAAATGTCGGTCGGGATTCAGCAGTCCAAGGGGAATCCATTTCGCCCAGGCGCATCCTAGGGGGAAAGCTAGCAATTGTGCCACTAGAGCACTGATCTTCACACTGGGTTGTCGTAAGCTGAAGAACTGGTTCAGTCCACTACCGACCTGTGCCGGCGGTCAGTATTATCTTGCCGATCGTCTGGTCGCATAAAAACATGAGACATACGATAGTAAACACAATACCAATGGTCCACATGCGAACTGTATTAACAGGCAGCGTCAAGTCATTGACTGGCTGGATAACAGCCCGCACCTCAGGGAAAGGCGAATCATCGGCTTCATAGGGTAAGATCTTCTCGGCATCCCGATCGTGAAGAATGCAAATTTCATCTTGATCCGAGAGGGTACTCTGAAATTTGAAACAGTTAATTCAACTACAACATAGATATAGTAGGGGGACATCTGGAGAGATCAAGCTGAAAGACGGGCACCCACCTCGTTCTTCTCCACCCTCTCCATCATGAACCCGGTCTGCAGGAGTGCCTAGAGCAGGGGATGGAGCAAAACTAACCCTAGTTTAGTGTTGGGTCGGCTTGGGCCGAATGGTTAAACCAACTAGGTAGGGATGGCTGCATGAAGCGTCTCCAGATACGGAGTATTCCGTACAGCGATGTCCACGAGCTAACAAATTGACCAATAAAGAAGGGACATCGGTGGAATCTCTCACATCACTTCCCCGGATTGCGTTCTCTGGGATAGGATTGGGTAGAATGGGGGTGAAAAATGGATATATAGGAAGGGAAAAAAATTGACAAAGGACGCGACGTCGGCAGAGGCCGTTATCGACCCACTTTATTATTGCCGGAGTAAGATATAGCTTCGGATAGGGAAATGACATTGTAAATTATCGAATTAATTGGATTGATTGATTCGAATCGAATCTAAAGTCTTTAATTTCCAGTAGAAACGCCCCGTGGAAGGCTTAAAAGCTCGAAACTAACATTATCGATCCCCCTTTCCCTTGTCTTTGGGCAATTTGAAGATATAATCTACTATCTACTCCAAGCCCTAAATTCTTGATTCGATTGCCTTGGAATCATTTCAAAAAGCTGGTCCAGTTCTGGGAAGGACCTCGGGAAAAGCTGTGATATCGTTCATTACCTGAACCTTTTACCCTCACAATGGGTGAATGTGACCAATCTAATATCAATGAGGTGCCCTTTTCTCAAAGACCCATTGTAATCCTCGGTGCGGGGATCATTGGTTGTGCGACTGCTCGGCAATTGCTGCTGAGTGGATTCCCCGTGGTATTGGTGGCCGAATATCTACCGGGAGACCAGAATATTTACTACGCATCGGCTTGGGCAGGAGCAGCGTGGCATGCTGCTGGGGGTATCACTCCTGATCAACGGTACCTTCAAGCTGTGACACATCGCGTGCTACTCAAGATGGCACAAGATGGCCCTGAGGCAGGGGTGAGCATTGTCAACGTACGAGAATACCTTGAACAAAAACCTGCCCCTGACTCGGCGATATGGGGTAAGACGGTAGTCTCCAAGGTACTTCGTTCTCCATGTAATTCCCGCTTGATTGATATTAACCTTCTTCCTATTGTTTTTAGTTCCGTGAGATGAGTCCTGGCGAATACCCTCCCAATTTCCACTGTGCCTGGTCCTATGAAACGCTTGTCACAGATCCCACGAGGCATATGCCTTATCTTAGGAAACTAGTCGAGTCTCACGGGGGCCACTTTATCCGCCAACGTGTCGAGTCTCTTCGGGAGCTGTATGATATGTTCCCTGAATCCCGGGTATTCATCAATGCAAGCGGTTGGGGCAGTAAAACCCTGACGGATGTGCAAGATGATAACTGTTTCCCGGAGCGAGGGCAGAATGTGTTTCTGGCCACTGATCAATGCAACACACTCCATTTCCGAAATGGCAAGGAATATACCTATGTGATTCCTCGGCCTCTGTCCAAGGGGGTGATCCTCGGTGGGGTGAGGCAACAGGACAGTCTGTATGAATGTCCCCAAGTCTCTCCAAACTCGGGTAACTCTTAAAGCTAACCCTTCCAGGTCACCTGAAGTCGATATGGATATTGCGAGGGATGAGATTGCACGCACGCATCAGTTAGCTCCTGAAATTGTTCCCGAACACCCAGCTGCAGATAAGGTGAGTTACATTATTGGAATCCGACCATGCCGAAAAGGAGGTTTCCGTCTCGACTCGGAGCAAAAGGGTAGTCGGGTGGTGATGTCGGCGTATGGGTTTGGTGGTGGTGGTTATGCGTTTTCATATGGGATTGCAGATGCCTTAGTGAAGATGGTGGAGAGGGTCGAGCGTGAGAATGTGATTTTGTAGATTCTCATTTTGTTAGTATAGTTAGGATTAAAATGGAAGTCCGCCATCCTATCTACTATATATAGATACTACCTAGGTATGTAGTATGTTGGGTGAGACAGAGCATTACATCATGGAATATACGAGGAATATACTTAGGACGTTTCTTTTTAATATTTAATAGTTAATAGCTAACTAACTAGTTATTTGACTACATATGTAGTTGACAGCTAACAGTCAATAGTCAATAGGCCTAGCTCTACTCCGTAAGATCTTGTTTGCTTCATATTCACCGTTTCTCCCACTCAACTTCCTCTCTGACTCTCTTCAGCTTTCTTGATTTCTTCAAATCCTTCGATGATTCTTCATCTTTATCCCTTAACTATCCTATCTATCTCTTCATCTGAAAATCTTCCACATCCTCACCCCCTCCCAGGCTTGTTAGCAATATGCCTGTGGATCAGATGCTCCACCTGAGAATTGACTGCCCTACGAACAATACCGTGGTGATCGCTCCTCCGGCCGAGAATGACTTGAATCATGACAAAATTGAACAGCCCGCTGCGACAGGATCTTTGAGTCGCATCTATCGATTTACTCCGTGAGAACCCCCTTGAACCCTTGAATCCTTTGAACCCTTCGGATATCTAGAATTATTCCATTATTGACTCCTCACAGTAAACCCACTCTCGTATTAGACGGCACCCTGCGAGTCGTCGAAGTGTCCAACAGTCATGTGGGAGTCTTCAAGCGCTCACGAGACCAACTGTTGGCAACGAACGTCTACGATCTTTCCCCCTCCATCCTCCCCGCCCCCAACCTCGCCTCCCTGAGTGGTGCCCTCAGCACTGCCATATCAACTCGGGAAGTGCAGGTCATCAAGTGCGTTTATGTGGCAAAAATCGACGCATTGTTTTCACTCAGCGTGACACCCGTCTTTGAAGATGACTCCTTGATCTACGTACTACTGGAAGCGCAGCGATCCAAACACCAACGGGATAGGTCGAATTCCATCAACGAACAAACATATCTCAACGAAACCTACAAAATTCTGGTTGACACCGTGAGGGATTATGCCATTTTCATGCTGGACACGCGCGGCCATATCGCGACTTGGAATTCCGGTGCCGCTATTTTGAAGGGGTACACGTCATCCGAGATCGTCGGCCAGCATTTCTCCATCTTTTACGGTCGCGATGACTGCGAAATAAAAAAACCCGCCCGCGAGCTGGAAGTCTGTTTACAAGAAGGGAAAGTTGAGGATGAGGGCTGGCGTTACCGCAAGGATGGCACCCGGTTTTGGGCCAATGTCATGATCACCGCCATCTATCAGAATAGCGGCCATGTGGGTTTCGTGAAAGTCACCCGCGACATGACCGAACGCCGGGCGACACAGGCCCGTTTGATTGACGCCTTTGAAGAATCTGCCAAATTGAAATCTGAATTCTTGGCCAACATGTCCCACGAATTGCGTACCCCGATGAACGGAATGCTCTTGGCTTTGACAATGCTACTGAGGACCGAGTTGACTGATGACCAGCGGGAATTCGGGTGCATCCTGGAAGACTCGACCTCGATCTTGCTGCAGATCATTAACGACGTGCTAGATTATTCTAAGCTGTCGTCGGGAACCTTCCCCTTGAATCTAGACGTTGTCAACATCCCCGACGTGATTTCTGCTGTGGTTCGGAATTGTCAATCGGCGCTCAAGCCTGGTGTCGAAATCATGGGCGGTGTTAGTGAAGGCTTTCCTCCAAACCTCAAAGGTGACCCGCTGCGATTCCGCCAAGTTCTGCAAAATATGGTTACCAACGCAGTCAAATTCACCGAGAGTGGCCACGTTCGAGTCCATGCCACTTATGCCATTGATGAAAAGGACCCTGATATGTATGTGATTTCTACGCAGGTAGTGGACACTGGTATCGGCGTACCCGAAGATGCCACAAACACCCTCTTCACCCCCTTCACACGATTCGCGGATACGGCCGCAAAAAGATACCAAGGTACTGGCCTTGGTCTGTCGATATGCAAGAGCCTGGCTGAATTGATGGATGGAGCGGTTGGATTCCATGCCAACCCTGATGGACCCGGTAGTGTGTTCTGGATGACAGCTAGGATGGCTCGTCTGACCTCGCCAATGTCTCCAATGAAGCAGAGGTTGCAACCAGATACACCTGAGGCATTGGATAATTCCGCCTCGCTCGAGAAGATCGCCCCGCATAAACACATCCTCCTAGTCGAAGACAACAAGGTCAACCAACTTATTATGTTGAAGCTTCTCAGAAGTCTGGGTTTCAAGCGCGTCGATGCTGCCTGGGATGGAGCGGAAGCAGTGCGTATGGTCAAGCAGAAGCCTTTGACCTATAATCTGATCCTGATGGACATCAGCATGCCGGTCATGGACGGATTGACTGCCACAGAGCACATTCGACAGATGAAAGTCGATGTGCCCATCCTTGCATTGACGGGCAATGCTCTCAAGGGAGATGCAGAGACGTATCTGGCCAAGGGGATGGATGATTATATCGCTAAGCCCTTGCATCGGCAGCAGCTGGTGGATTTATTATGGAAATGGTGCGGATCCTGAGTGGCTGCTCCCGAATATCACATCGCCAGTTACCGGCCGTCTTTCGATGTGATCAACGCACGGCAGTTGAAACAGACCCCGTGTCAGCGTCATGGACGAGAGATTTGTGGCCGAACCGTCTGGTCGGGAGTTTCCAACCACATCCCCTCAAAAATGGCGGCAGAAGTCCGCCATTTGTACCTGAACATTTCGGACAGCAGTCCACAAAACGGACTTTGAAACGACATCCTCACAGTGCTTTGAGTTCTGGGACTTCTAGGACTTCTTTCACATTGAGAACTCCGGTTCTCCACCAATCATTTACGCCCGAATATCGACGGCAATGCCATTCGCCGAGATGATAAAGTTCCCTGCACATTGATGTGCCCCAAGAGCTATCATCTTTTGCTCGCACGACTTATGCCTGAAGAAGACACGTGAAACTGTGTTTCTGCCACCGCCGTTGCAACCATGCAGCCTTCCGTATCAACTCTTTAACACCACTCATGAAACCATCGCCCATATGCGGTGTTTAGCCAGCCGCGTAGTGGGTGGATGACAGTTGCAATGCAAGACTTGGTGCAAGAATGGCCCTCCGTAGAGTCCATGGTGTTGGAATAGCAAACAATCCTTTTAATTGTAAATTGATACAAAGTATGCGGAGTGCATAAGACTGGGATTTTACCATTTTAGCACATGGGCAAGTATCGACAATAATTCCACTATCTGAATCTCAAGGGAAAATGATGCTTTAACATTAACAGTTCGGCTTTCAGATCGGGCTTGGTCTCAAATCAAATCAAATCAAATCCTCTGTTCATGTTTTGCATAACGGTTCAATATATATAGCTTCATCTAACACCCTCAAATGCGGGGTTTTAGGGGGAATCAAGATCGTCGACCTCATTTCGCATCTAACGAGAAGCCTTTTTGATTATGATTCGCTAGAGGCATTTGAAGCAATACTCTCTCCGCACTTCCACTGGACAACCCTCGACGCCGAGTGGCTCAAGCCTTCTGCGTTTAATGAAGTGCTAGTTGCATTTTCATCGTCTGGTTGCGAGTCAATTCCTCAGGGGTAGTTTTCTCCCGAGGTACAACACTGATGATCTTTTATTTTCACATGAGGTCATGGCTGTTTTTCTTCTTATCTCGGACTGTAATTGCTGAGATACTCTTCGGAAGTTTAAAGGGACCCTGCTCTGCGACTGAAGACAAGGATACGTGTTTCGAAGTGTCTTGAATCTCGTCGACTTGACGGGTTGTAGTGAACGCCATTTTGGAAAAGTCGCCGAAGAACGCAACCCCATCAGGGAAGAGATATACTATCCGTGTTAATGATCTTCATATGGACCTCGTGTGACCTGCCTTAACCTTCCGAGGAGCGTGAAATTGGTTTTGATCTTCTTAGGTGAATGGCCCCGAGGAACTTCACCCCGATGTTCAACCCTTAGGGAGATACTTAGAGGCTAGGACAAAGTTAATTACCAGCAGGATAAGCTCTATCCTTACCCCGTTTGATTTGCCGGGGTCTTAGCATCGTTGATCGACTGGCTGTCTTTCCTCTTGGTCGATCTGAGTGCAAATTAATGGTGCTCGACGCTGAAAGCCCCGTCCAGGCCCACCTTGGAAGGCGGGAGATGCTATAAAGGATGCCTTGTCCGCCACGGGTATTTGTTGACTTGGTCCGCAAGTTTGAAGGAGGAAGCTGAATTGGTGAATTCCTGCTAAGACTATTACCATGAAATCCTTCATTATGCTTTGTGTCCTGGCGGCCAGTGCGATGGCAGTACCAACGGCTCATGATTATCAATTGCACGAGCGTCGTGATTTCATCCCAAAATCCTGGGTTGAAGGCAAGAAGCTCGACGGAAATGTGTCACTACCTGTGCGAATCGGGTTGACCCAGTCTAACCTAGACTATGGCCATGAGCTGCTTATGGACTTGTATGAACTGCGCCATGGACGTCTCACCGTCTGAAACTAACATGGATCTGTTTAGATCCAACCCGCACTCGAGCCGCTATGGACAATATCTGTCCACCAATGAAGTGCACGAGCTGTTTGCTCCAACAGAAACGAGTGTGAACGATGTGCGTTCTTGGTTGGAGTCGGCTGGTATTGCAAAAGACCGTGTCACGCAATCAGCCAACAAGCAATGGATCCAGTTTGACGCCGATGCCGAGGAGCTAGAGAATTTGTTGCACACAAAGTACTATGTCTACTCACATGCGGAAACGGGCCGATCGCATGTGGCCTGTCGCGAGTAACGCTGTCACTTAGATTGGATATAGAGTCTCGCTGACCTCTGACACCAGATACCATCTCCCGAACTCCGTGCGTGAGCACGTCGACTATATCACCCCAGGAATTTCTCTGCGGGAGGTGACTGGTGTTAGGAGACCGACTAAGCAGAAACGCTCTGTGGATGGGATTCCCCCTATCCTTGAGCCGATCCTCCTACCAATTGAGGAGCTCCTTAGCGAGGCTCCGTCGCTATGCTCCCAGGCCATTACACCCCAATGCATCCAAGGTAAGTGATCCGAGTGCGAATACCCACACACTAAATATACTGACAAGCCTACAGAGATGTATAACATCAGTGAGGGCCACTCTGCCACAGAAGGAAATGAATTGGGAATCTTTGAAAGCATCGGGGACGTCTATGCCCAGGAAGATCTAGATTTGTTCTTCTCGAAATTGTACTCGTATGTCGCCTTTAATCAAATTCTGTCGAGTTGATTGGATTTCGAACTGACTTTCCTGCAGGAAAATCCCCCAGGGCACACACCCAATTCTCAAGTCAGTTGATGGTGGCGAGGCTCCTACAGACACTTCCAGGGCTGGAGCTGAATCCGATCTGGACTTCCAGATCTCCTACCCGATTATCTGGCCACAAAACTCCATCCTTTTCCAAAGCGATGATATGAATTACGAGCATCATTATACCTTCCATGGCTTCCTCAATACGTTCTTGGATGCCATTGACGGCTCGTACTGCAGTACCATCTCGCCTTTGGACCCTCCATACCCTGATCCGGCAGAAGGAGGCTACAAGGGATCCTTGCAATGTGGGGTGTACGACCCACCCAAGGTTATCTCGATTTCCTATGGCTCCGCGGAGGCAGACCTCCCCATTTCCTATCAGCGGCGACAATGTGCCGAATTTATGAAGCTGGGTACGATGGGAGTTTCAGTGCTGGTCGCATCGGGTGATTCTGGTGTGTCTGGACGTGGAGGCGACCCAACCCCTAGCAACTGCCTTGGCGCAAATGGCAGAATCTTTGCTCCAGATTTCCCGGCCTCCTGTCCATACCTTACTGCAGTGGGAGGTACTGAAATCCCCACCGGTTCCTCGCCAGGAGATCATAAGGAGCAAGCTGTAACTAGGTTCGCGTCAGGCGGCGGTTTCAGCAACATTTACAAGGCGCCTGACTATCAGGCCCAGGCTGTTGCCGATTATTTTGACAAGGCCAAGCCCTCATACCCATACTATGAGAGCGTGGACAACAGCAGCTTCGGTGAGAATAACGGTATCTACAACCGGATCGGACGTGCCTATCCAGATGTTTCTGCTATTGGTGATAAAGTCGTCATCTATAATAGGGGAATGGCCGTGTCGATTGGTGGGACATCGGCCTCTGCGCCTGTATTTGCTGCAATCCTCACCCGTATCAACGAGGAGCGACTGGCCGCTGGCAAGTCCACTGTTGGCTTCGTCAACCCTGTCTTGTACGCACATCCGGAGGTATTTTTTGACGTGACCAAGGGCAGCAACCCAGGTTGCAAGACCGATGGCTTCTCTGCGGCCGAGGGTTGGGATCCAGTGACCGGATTGGGTACCCCCAACTATCCAGAACTTTTGAGAGTTTTCATGGGCGAGTAGAGTAGTTTGATATAGGGCGGATCTTGCTTTGGAAATAATCAAAGACAATGAAGGGTGTTCGATATGATTCGATGCAAGTTCTGTTAGAAAGAAAAAGAAGCACGGGTGATCACGACACAGGACTTCAATATTGTACCATTCTTGGCACTCGGAGCCCTGGAGGGACTACCCAGATAGCATTAACAGCAAACAAAATGCCAAAATGAAATACGACATCAAGTAAAATGAAGAGTCAAAAGGGTCAAAAGAGTTGAATTGCGATTTCACAGAATGACATCATAAATTACCCCGCGTGGGGTAGAGTTCTCTACAGTTATCCTTTATATTGTTCTTATATAGTACTCTTATATAGTACTATATAGAGTACTATATACTTGGAATAATAGATGATATATCAGTAAACCGCCTATCGTAATGAATGAATATGAACTACCTTTTATTATCCCATGTTCTCCTACAGTAATATCCTGTCTACTTCGGTGGAGTCTACTCCGAGAGGGGCGTGGGATGAAGAAGGCCAGAAGCCCCGCCGGAGAAATGAACAGTTAAAGGTTCGGGAATTTCCACGTCATCTTCCTTCTTTCTCTTCTCAATTATTCTTCAATTTTTTAAAGCCATGTCTCTCGGAAAGAAAGTCGCTCTGAACACCGGCCACCAGATCCCGTGCGTATCTTCCGCAGAAAATATTGAGAGACTTCACTGACCCCACAGTCAGCCAGCTGGGCTTTGGTACCTGGCAGTCTGCCCCTGGGCAGGTCGGCGAGGCTGTCTATGAGGCCTTGAAGGCTGGTTACCGCCACCTGGTATGTACATGTCCATCTATCATTTTCTTTAGACTATTCGCTAACCTTAACCCCTCAGGATTTGGCAACTATGTATGCAGCACCAATCGTTTCATCATGAAAAACTCGCCCACTACAATTGCGCCGTACTTACCACCTGTTCACAGCTACCAGAACCAGCGTGAGGTCGCTGAGGGCATCAAGCGTGCTTACAAGGATGTCCCCGGTCTGAAGCGCGAGGATCTCTTTATTGTAAGCTTATTTTGGGATGTTACACGATTTCAGCAACTGACATGTCAGTACCCAGACCTCCAAGCTGTGGAACAAGTACGCTATCTCAACCTACATTGTTACACTACCAGGTTATTGACCCTGTATGTAGCCAGCACCGCCCGGAGGTTGTTGAGGCCTCTCTCGATGCTTGCCTTGCTGAGCTTGAGTTGGATTATCTTGACGTATGATTATTCCATTCCGTGCAACTGTGAGCTATTGCTGACAGGCCAAGCTTTACCTTGTCCACTGGCCCGTTGCCTTCCAGAAGGGCGATTCATACTTCCCGCTCGTTGCCAACAGCACCGTCGAGGGTGGTGATGTGATCATTGATGATGGCGTCTCTATTGTGGACACCTGGAAGGGTAAATGGTTACCTTGGGCAAATAGGGGAATCAGACGCAGCTAACTCCTCTTAGCCATGACCCAACTCCCCAAGAGCAAGGCTCGCTCCGTCGGTGTCTCTAACCACAAGATTGAGCATGTTAGTATCCTTTCTGTCCCAGAACTCGTTATAGATCGGCTAATACGCCCCCGCAGCTCGAGGCTCTCATTAAGGGCACCGGTGTCGTCCCTGCCGCCAACCAGATCGAGCGCCACCCCGTGCTCCAGAGCAACGACCTGATTGAGTACTGCCAACAGAAGGGAATCCACATCACTGCTTACTCTGTACGTATCTAATTTTTGGGGTTGACGGTGGAGAAGCCCAATACTGACTGAACCTCTAGGCATTCGGTAACAACATGCTGAACATTCCCCTGCTCATCACCCGCCCCGAGGTCAAGGAAGTCGCCGATTCTGTTGCGAAGCGCACTGGCCAGGAAGTCAGCCCCGCACACGTCATGTAAGACACGCCCTTTCTGTGGTATTGTCCCGCAAAAGCTAACAGTCCTTAAGTCTCGCCTGGTCTCAGGTGGGTGGACACAGTGTCATCCCGAAGTCGGTCACGCCTTCGCGCATTCGCGACAACTTCAAGGAGATTGAACTTACCCCCGAGGAGGTTCAAAAGGTCAGCGCTCTGGGCCAGAACCGGAAGCGATACAACACACCTTATGCTGCCAACAAGCCTCGTTGGAACATTGACATCTTCGGCGAGCCCGAGGAGAAGGCCGCTGATCACAAGGTCATTCTGAGTGTTTAATTTCGCTGGTCGCCCCAGGCGCCCCCTGGTTGAATGAGATATAGATATCCGGTTTTCTATAGAGTGTCAGCAGGCTTGCACCAGTGCCGATGTATCTAGACAACTTGCTCAATAGTCAACCTATGAAGATCAACTGACCATCCCGTTTAAATTCCTTGGCCTAATTATGCCTGTTGAGTGCTTTATTTCTGAGGCGTTAACCATGTATTGCTACGCCTGGACCTTTAAAGAAAGCGCTCCCTGTAGACTGAGTTCCTAACAGAGTGGTTCCAAAGTGGGCTGGCGGTGGTGACATACGGATCAAACGCGAAGATCCCACACTACCCAAGCCCATGCAGATACTATATTGTAGGCCAGATTCACTTGGCCGTGAACAGTTGACTTCTTTAATTCGGAAACGAGGGCAAAAATCAATATCAAAACATGTTGCGTCATGTCGCGTTCAACAAAAGGGTCCAAGGGTATATGTAAATTGCGAAAGACTGCCTGTAATGCCGTTTATGCCGACTCACGGCTGTTCCGTTCCATTCATTGCCAAGATCATCTCCGCTCGTCACCGGTCATGTAAATTGCTTTAATCTGCGTGTATTGGTCGTTGATGAGAGCTCGAGACTGGTCCTGCGTCCAACTCGTGATATTCCTGGACTGGAGTTAATCCATTCGCGGCCTCATGGACTGAGCGACCATCCAATAATATCGCCGATCCCACCGGTTTCCGGGGCAAGAGAGTCGGCGGTTCTTCTGGACGTGATGATTCTTCTTGAGGCGAGATACTGCCCTGAGAGATGGGGGCCTTTTCATAATGTGCCACGACAGTTGATGGGGTTGATGAGGGTGGAATAGTCGATTGGGCCCCTTTAGCTTTCCGTCTCTGGCGCCGTCGCCGAAGCACGAACCAGAAGACCAACACAATCAGAAGGACAACCACGATTACACCCGCTGCAATTCCACCCTTGGCTCCTGGACCCAGGCCAGACGAGCCACTGGAGCAGGTATAGCCGTTTCTGAAGACTCTGTCGGAATTCAAGCTGTCTAATGCAGCGCATGACATGGATCTGCTGCCCATGATTGTTGCCTGACCTTTGACTTGATCAAGAGAAGGAAGCGACACGCTGTAACATTCATCAGTATCTTAGAAGGTGGGAGTTGATCACTGTCGTAATGAGCATACCTGTCGAATGATCCCGCCAATCTTAACTGTCCGTCAACTTGTTCCAGATCCTGGAACCCTAGTGTTTTTAGTTTCGGATTCCCCGTGATGATTATGCTCGAAGAAACTTGTGATAACCCGCCCATAGTTATGGTTGCGAGCGAGTTGAGGTTACGCAGTGTGATACTGCCCCGCACGCTGTCCAAATCAGGGGTAAAAAGACCTGTGAGCCCTGAGGCACCCTCGGCAATTAATGCGCCCTGGATTTGCTCGACATTGTTGATGGTAATCGCTCCGCTGACAGAAGAGGATATCGTAATGCTTCCGTGGACTGTGTCGCAGCTTCTCAGCGTGTTCGCATCGCTTTGACTCGAGATGGTCACACTGCTTGAACCTATGGGAAATGAGCTACACAGCTGGCAAGAGAAGCAAACAATGTATTACTTACAGGCATTAGAATCAGCGGCCGTTCTTCGCCATGCGCTGGCAATCACCAGAAGGTAGATTACAATCATCCCTACGGGCGAGGTTTGCGAAGCTCCTGTTACTTATTTGGCGCGACAAACCCTGAATGATGTCTGCGCGAAGGCACTGGGTAGTCGCAGTTTTAAGGTCAATAATACGGAGGGAGGCGGAGTCGAAAAATCTCCGACCTTGGCCTTGGCCAATGGTACTTTTGTGTGTTAATTGAGCATCAATATTGCGGATCGTCGCGGTTTGTTTATAGTGTTGATTGGTCAAATTTGGATATTTTGTTTAGCAATACATACATGTAGCCCACAGCCACCGGCGGATCGATCATTCTGCCTATGTAATTTCCCTTCAAAGGCACGGACCGGGAGACAAGATGGGCCAGTTCAGTCTGACGAATCATTCTCTACCTGCCATGAATTGATCGTCGTAAAATCTCGGCGCCGAAGCCGTGTTGCTATTTCCGTGTACGGATTATGTCGTAATTCAATCCCTGTTCTATTATTCCGTACGAGTACGGAGTACGGAGTATTGAATGGGGTAGGCAACAGAATTTAATATCGGCGCTCCTTGGTGGCCCCAGTCTGGTTCAGAATCCCCACATGGATTGACATCACAAACACCAGAAAAATCGAAAGAGAAGAATCTATAGAGAATGATATTGTGATATCAAAGCCTCTGAAGACACCCGTGGACAGGGAATGTCAACGTCCAACTTATGCCCGAGATCCTTGGTACCGGAAGTAAGAAACCATGGACGTCGAAAACTTTCTTGGAATTTCCCCAAAAGATGACTCAGCACATGCGGGGGGGACCCTGCCCAGTATCATTTTCGGAGATTCTACATAAATGAATCTCGATAACAGCCACCTTGAGCTGATACCTTTATGAGAGTAGGCAAGGGCTGTGGAAGGTGTCGTCATCGACATATCCGATGTGTGATTCCCACTGGTGCATCCACTTGCACTCCATGTCTGCGACTTGGTCGGGCATGTCATCTCGATCCCCGTTTCCAGTTCAAACCTGTCCACCACATTTACCAAAAGAATAATGGTGCCACTGCCCGATTCGAGTTAGATTGGGATAAAGAACAAGTTTGGGTGGACGTATCACAGCCCGGTAGGAGTCCAGGGCCTATTGCTCTGGTGATATACTGATCTTGTCTAGTGACATTTGTCTTTGAGGCGAATGATGAATCGGCTGGAGACGAACATAGTGCTTTAGAACAACACGACAGTCTAGCACCAGAATCGGTTGGAGACGAAAGTAGTTCTTTACAACAATACACTCCAGCACCAGAGCGGGTATCAAATGGTAGCGGTGGATGGACTCAAGGTCTTCACTCAGAGGACACATATCCGGCTCAAGCTCGCAGCCCAATTTATGAGAATCGATCTCGTCACGAGTCTACCAACAGTCCACTCAGCCTTTTGTCAGACAATGGGTCTACACTGACACTAAGAGAGGCGTCACTGATGCGCCACTTTATCCAGAAATTAGCACCCTGGGTGAGCTATAAGCGAGTATCTTCTTAGGGTTCCGTATCTGACCATTATAGGCCGATGTATGTGACATCCATTCGCATTTCAGCACTGAAGTTCCAAGACGAGCATTGGAGAATAACATGGTACTGCAAGCCATCCTGGCTCTATCTGCGCGACATGATGCAATCTTGGCCAACGATAGTGACTGGGAGGCCTCAGCTTATCATGGTCAATGTTTGCATTTATTAATTGCGGCGTTAGACCAAGCCGAGACAAATTGTGACGAGAACATGCTCATTGCGGTCGTGATTCTCCGTATATATGAGGAGCTGGAAACAACCACTGACCAGCAGTTTCACCTGCTTGGGTCCAACCGTTTGGTGAATCTTATGGCCCGCTCCGCCTCCGCTGGCGGGGTGGCAGAGGCAGTAAGCTGGCAGTTCTTGCGACAAGCTATATATGCATCGGTGGTACAGTATCAACCTTTACAACTCGACATGCAAAATTATGAGCGCTCGTCAATGTTTCACCGCCAAGACGACGGTGCTTGCGCTAATAGAATCATCTATCATTGCGCCCGCATCCTACAGGTATGCTGCGACGCGCCTGGAAATATTGTGGAAGAGGATACCTGGCGCCAAATATCAGACAGCGTGAACGAGTGGAATCAAACCAAGTCCACAACCTGGCAACCTATTCGGTACCAAGCATCGAGTGTGGCTGCCGGTCGCCCTTTCCCTGAGGTATGGATGATATCCCCTCCTGCAGGTATGTCCTAAGTTCCAATGACGAAAACAACCTGAAGTTACTGACTGCGACCAAAGTCATCGGAATGCAGTATTATCACTCGGCGTGTATCTTCCTCACTTTGTCTAAATCTCCATCGCACAATATGAGCGATTATGAAAGGGCCCGTTCAAGGCGTGTAAAGGAGGTAAGTCAAACCAAAGCTCTGAGCAACTGTATTTGCAAGCTAATACAAATCTTAGAAAACGATTGCCGACCATCTTATTATGGTTATTGGACTGTCACTGTCCAATGAAAGCGTACAGAATGCCTATTTTATGGCATGCCATTTATTACATCGCTGTTCGTGTGCGCTTCATATTCTTTGACACTCTTGCCCGCTGACCTCTCGTTAGTTGGCTACTGTCTTCAGAACGTAGTTGAGCAGGAAGGATCATTGAAATTTTTGGCACGAGTAGAAAACATGCTGGGGTGGCGCACTTCATGGATAATGCGGGAGCTGGAGCATCAATGGACCGAGTTGGCTGCGTTTGACTCGAGGGACACGATATAGTAGTGCATGAGCTTAGAAAAATCAACCAGTCAGACTTGAGAATTATTTAACTTGGAACAGAGTTCCCCGGATTGAACCCCCCATGAGCAATTCACTGCCAACCGGGGTAGCCATATGTAGACAAGCCTGGCAGTGCCCATGGTGACTCCATGAAAGTCCAAAATATTCTCAACGGAACCAGCTTGGAATGTCCATTGTCCTAAGCCGAAGGATGTACGGGAAGTTGCTCATCTGTAATCTAACCTCACTGTATGAGTTGTGAGACTGCATCACACTGAGTTGTCCTACGACTCTGAATTTGAAACCCACAATGGTCCTTCCAACTTCCCACAAGTGTGCTATATCCAGAGTTACTGGAGGACCTCTTATGACCGAAGAGACCCCGTTAGTTCAACCGATGAAGGAGAGGTGACGTTAAAACTCGAGCCATATGGTGTTCGCTCCTCGGGTCACATTGCTCGGGTGTATGGTATGCCCGATCCTTGTATGTCTTTCTAACAACTATCCCAGTATAGTGTATTGCCGTCCTAACATCCGCTAGCACAGTTGTGCCTGGTCGTGAGAATATTGGAGGAGTTGTCGTAGTCGCAATCGGATACTCGGTTTCGCAGTGGAAATTGGGGACCGCATCGGTGGAGCATAGCATGAAGGTCACGATTCTACAGCAAATTGACTTGAATGGAAATGGTCACGACTTCACCCGAACTGAGTTACCTACCCCTCATGCTGTCCCAAGATTTCAAGGATATTTTGTGCGGGGCTCGGGAGCTCACCAATTACAGCAATGCGTAGCAAGGACCGGGGTGAAGCGTTGCGAAAGTTAGGGGATTTCTCACGGCAACAGCACCTGACGCACGCGTGATGCGCCCTCGTGGAAAGGACTTCCGATCCGAAGGATTTTGACCTTAGCCAGTAAGCTATATTAATGAAAATATTGGACCGAGCTGCTAATGGAAACCAGTGTTTGGGGAGGTGGCGTTCGACACGAGACTGACAGTAAGCCTCGATAAGCATTTCTTTCAGGTTACTTGACACTAGAGTCTCAAGGTTTGTCGATCCCTACGTGGCTCAATCATGGGACAGATTCAGAAGAGACTACCGAGTACACTGAGCCGGAGCAAATCCACTGTATGGTCCAGACATTTCCGCCGAACAAGCCAAAGTTAGGCATATGGTATGCCCTCGGGACTCCGGCAAGGTCTAAAAGACCAGGAAAATAGCTGGATATGAATTTCATAAAGGTCAATTTTAGTAATTTCCTCGATGTGCTGACTCCTGCGCCTTAGTCCTGCATATTAAGATCTTCCACCTCCGCTTTATCTTTGTCTTTCTCTCTCCCTCTGTGAGTGTGACTTTTTCTATCCTTCGTTATCTTTCATCTCAACACACAGAAATTATACATGGTCAGCAATGGATACTGAGTCATGGGAAGTGCTCGTGCACAAGAAGCAACTCGAAGATGCTGCTAAGATCCCAACTGAATGGCGAATTCCAGAAGAACTGACCAAGGTATCCGAAACTTCTGGCTTGAATGTGCTAGATGTCCCACGCCAGTCGGGAATATTGTCAGCAAAGCAACTCGAGATAACCGAGAACTATGATGCAACTGATCTGTTAGGCAAGATCCATCGTCAAGAGCTGTCTTCCTTTGAGGTCACTGAAGCATTTTGCATTCGCGCTGCGATTGCGCAGCAGGTGGTATGCGTTGAAAATGACCTATAAGGCTTAGCCACCGGCTTACGATGGACTCATAGACTCGATGTCTCACTGAGACTTTCTTTGAGCGTGCCTTGCAGCGCGCAAAGTATTTAGATGAGATTCTGTTCAAAACAGGGACACCTGTTGGTCCTCTGCATGGCTTGCCCATCAGTTTCAAGGTACGAAGGTAATTCCGGACAGAGAGTTTGGGCTTACTGATGCCATATAAAGGATTGCTTCAACATTGATGGTATTCCGTCTACGATTGGATTTACCTCGTTTATCAAGAATGGGCCTGCCAGTTCAAATTCTCCTGCGGTTCAGATTTTGCTCAACTTGGGAGCCATCCCGTATGTGAAGACAAATGTTCCCCAGACAATGATGGTGAGTGATCTTACAATGATAAACGTGTCACAATTACTCAACGTGATAGGCCGCTGATTCGCATAACTACGTGTTTGGCCGGACACTCAATCCTCATCGATCGAACCTTACCGCTGGCGGGTCGACTGGGGGAGAAGGGGCTTTAATTGCTATGAGAGGATCGGTGCTGGGTGTTGGTACAGACATAGCTGGCTCGATTCGAATCCCAGCTATCTGCAATGGGATCTACGCATTGCGACCTTCCGCGGATCGCATTCCATATGGGGGACAGACTAGCTCTGCTCGCAGGGGGCTGGCCGGAATCAAGGCTTGCGCAGGGCCCTTGGCAACATCAGTCAGAGATCTGGAGCTGTTCATGAACCTTGTGACTAATGCTGACCCGTGGCAATTTGATTCTTCCGCTTTGTTTTCTCCATGGCGCACCGTTCCGGCCAAGTCCACCCTTCGGCTTGGGCTCATCCAGGAGGATGCCCATTTCCCTCTGCATCCCCCAGTTTTGCGAACTCTTAAAAATGCAATCGAAAAGCTTGAAGAAGCTGGGAATGAGATTTTTCCTCTAAATACCCTGCTTATTCGAGATGTCTGTGCATTGGCATTTCGCATGTTCTCGATGGACCCAGGTCGGACCCCGTTCAAGCACATCGCTGCCAGTGGGGAACCAATCATCCCTGCGTTGGCCTCGACATCTCTGTACCATAGCCACATGCCATATGGATATGCCCCATTAACACTTGAAGGATTGTATGACCTCAATGAGGAGCGCAACCGCATCAAGGAAGAGTTCCGCAATCTCACTGTGCAGGCAAAAGTGGATGCCATTATCATGCCCGGCTACCAAGGTACCGCTCAACCTCATGATCTGTTTGGCTTTGTACCCTACACCGTCCTTTGGAATGTCATGGATGTAAGTTCATATCTTCTCATTCATGGCCCTATACTAATCCTCCAAAGTACCCGAGCTGTATCATTCCGCATGGCAAGGCGAACAAGACCGCCGACAAAGCATTCATTCGGAGTGTGGATTACAGACCTCCCTGTAAGTGTTGTATTTTCCACCTCTTATGATTGATGGATTTAATGCTAACTCTGGAATTCGAGATGTTGCTGATGACATCGAGGGAGCTCCGTGCTGCGTGCAGCTCGTTGGCCGGAACATGCATGACGAGGAATTGCTGAAAGTGGCGGAACTTGTGTCCAAGACACTCGAGCATTGAGCCCTGGCACTAATGGAATGGAGGTTCTCTAAGGAAGTTTGATACATCACTTGTAGAATTGCGCATTCATTCTGCGAAATTGTCCATATATGTAAACCAGATCTTAGTCAATCCTGGTAAAGGCGCAAGGGTAGAGGAAAATGAAAAGAATAGACAAGGGACCTCGGCATATCATTTTACGGCCTCAAGTGGAAGAGAACCGGGGAATTCCTCTTCGAACGTATTTTTTTGGCCACAGTGCCTTCGGGATATTTGGCCGCGAGAATTTGGAATGTCGTCACTTCATTCATGAAAACCCCGCAAATCAATTTCCTACATTCAAGGGATTTCCCACCAACGGGAGAAATGGATATACTGGCATCTGATCTTGGGAGTGCTATAAGTTCATGTAAAACATGTCTTTTGTGGAGAATGACTCTGATCCCAATGACTCACAGGGATTCCATCCACAAAGACAACGATGAACATGATCTTGAAAGCAACCGGAGTGGCCATCCTCAGTATCCTACCTTACGTTCATGCATATCCTTTCAGTGCCTTCAAACACTCGCATAAGACTCCATTTTTTGTTCTAGCGGGTGATAGCACCACAGCAACTCAATCCTCCAACGGAGGAGGATGGGGAGACGGATTTCTCAAGACAACCCTTTTCAAAGGAGCATCTGGTCGCAATTTTGGTCACAACGGTGCAACTACTGTTAGCTTTCGAGATGGAGGTGATTGGGATGAGGCCTTAATGACTGTGAGACAAGTTCGAGACGACTATCATCCATTTGTCACGATCCAGTTTGGCCACAACGACCAAAAGCCAGCTGCAAACATTTCATTGTCACAATACACTAGAAATCTCGAAAGATTTGTGACCGAGGCTTCTGATGCTGGAGCCACACCGATTCTCGTCACTCCTCTGTCTCGGCGCAACTACGATAACTCAACAGGAACACCGCGCATCATCATGAGTCTCGTCAATGAGTCCATAGCCACCATAACTGCCGCCTATCATTCATCTGCTGCCTATATTGACCTGAACGAAGCCAGCACACGGTACCTTAACGCAATCGGGCCAGAAAGTGCTTTTACATACAACCTCAACATCGCAGACAATACGCATTTGAATGCGCCGGGGAGTATTCTCTTTGGGGGAATTGTGGCCGAACTGATTAGCCAGAAATTTTACGCTTTGGAAAAGTCTGGATATCTGCGCGTGAGCGGTAAACTCAAGAAGAATGTTGATCATGGGATCTATTACTGGCCTTAACTGAGCCAAATATTGTGAACCCTTATTCCCAAGAATACGAATATAAGATCTTATTCAATATCGAAGGTGTTATTCTATGCTTGTGGTCATGTCGGTTCATGCCTAGCCTGAAAAGTGTGTCCACAGTCGCGAATGTTTGATCAAATTAATCTCGCCAGCTTCTTTATATCCCTGTCAAACTACAGATCAACGATAGATGGCTACTTCTCCTCCTCGTGAGCATGTTTTTGAAGGAACAAAGCTTTCATCGAAGGATAGGTTCGCACTTCGAGATCCTCGACTAAAGCAGAAGTTCCCTCTTTGTTCCAAAGATCATACTGGATTGACTGTGGTGTCGTGCCCTGAGTACGTTTAGAAAACCAAATTGCATGGACCCGGTCAATGGAAACTTCGAAGCCTTCTCCTTGGCCGTGAATCAAAATTGTCGCACCATCTTCACTGTCGAATCGACGGTCAATGTCGATCCCCTCCTCCTCACCCCATGATCCACCAAACTTGGAGTTGAAAATGATTTGACCCTGACCTTGGCGAATAGATATATGGAAGATTGTATCATTCTTTGCATCCATAATGGAAATCTGGGTCATGTCGACGCCATCATCAGGTTTGACAGGATCCACGCTCGACGGCTCCATGAGAATGATGCTTGTCTGCCTTGAGAGTCTGCTAGAATTGAAGACTGGCATAAAGTGTTAGATTTGCTCTTGGTCGTTTCGATCAGATTCGAGTTAGTGATCATATTTCCATGTCTATCCCCCTGCATGTAGAATTGGAAACTTATCGAGGAGACGGTGCGTCAATCTTCGGCTGCTTCAGCTCCGGATCCAGCGCTCCATCAGCACCACCAGTGATGGTAGGCTCTTTTTTGAAGTTTTCTAAGGCTGGCGGAGTAGCGGGGTTGGTGAAGTGCTTGGTTTCATTGCTGCTGCCAATGATGTCTAGCTCCAGCTTGTCAACCTCGTAGCGAGGTATATCTTTCTCGTTCTGCGAAAGGTCAGTAATGTTGTATAATGGAGGCGAGAGCTAACAGATAGATGTGCTTGCCTTCAATACCCGCCAGTATGCGCGCTTTCGTATATACGCCAGAAACTCGTCGCGAGTCAACGACTTCAGTTTGCGTCCTTACAAGCTCTCGGGGGTAATTGGGAAGTAAGCCGTTGACCTGACGCGGGATTTTTGTCCTTTGGTGCAGTTTCCGCAGACTGAAGAACCGTCCAACTCGGGCTGTTGACTGAAGTTATACACCTCCGCGGTCAAGTCTCATAGTGGGTTCTGTATACCATCCTCTTGGGCGAGATACAATTTGGCCCAGAAAGGTCGCCCTCCCAATGCATATCTAACTCATTCAAGATGGTTAGATATCAATTCTTGTTGCTATTTCTCAATGGCAACATACTTCAAGAACCGAACACTGAAGGCGAAGTCGGGAATTTTGAGCCCACCGTCAATTGTCTCAACGCCCTCTGGAGTTGGAGCCGTAGGGTCCAACGCTAAATCACGCGATACACCATATAATATGTTGATAATGGTGGTGAATTTTTCCTTGAACAGAACTTGGTTGAGTGTTCCGTCCTCCTGGTGGTATTTAGTCTTCCACCGCGCGGCTCTGGATAAGAATATGCCAGATTGGAGGTAAACCTGATCCCTTTAGGAGTCCAATAATTTCCTTCAGCATCACGTCTGAACGGCTGAAGAGGCGTGTTACCATTCACGATGGCTCTTTGCCAAATGAATCACGGATGGTAGCGTTGTCGGCAGGAATGTTATTTCGCCTCCAGCTGAGAGGTAAATTGATAGTGGGGCTACATTTATTGGTTTTACTATTCTACGGCTATACTACTATTCAACTCGCCGAGTCTCGCATTCTACAATACCGTCTCTATATAGTTGCGGAAAATGTCCAGCCCTTAATTTTTGGTTCTACAATATCTAGGAATATCTCAGAAAACCCCAAGTGAGTGGTTTGTAAATCTAGTGTAGTGTTTTATTCTTAATTTAATTTGATTTATTTTATTTTTCCGCTTGAATAACACTAGCTTATCCCTCTACTACCTGCCCGCTTGCTCCTAGGAATACCACTTCAGCTCTAGCGACCTAGACATCCGTAAAAATATTCTAGACCAATCGATTATGTCTACTAGATGATCTAGCCGCCTATAACGAAATTTGCGGCCCCTCATTTGCCCAACACATTCAAACTAGCAATTAGAAAATACCTCATGCTAGCTGAAGTCCGAGAGGACTTCCTAGGAGCTCCAGACGTTTCGTGCCACCACAATATGAATGATATCAATCCTAGGAGCTTAAGTGCTAGTACCAATTCGCGAGAACTGTGACTACTAATGCTAAGTGTCAAAGTATATAAATGGGACCCCGATCCCTCCTTGAAGGAAAATATCCAAGTTTCAAGCATTTCTCCTTAACGTCCTATAAAGACTGATCATAAGTTTGAGCAACCGTCAGCATTCCAGGTCTGTATCTTTTTAGGCCCTTAGCTAGAGCAAAAGCCTAACTATTATGCAGATTTTCTAATGCCGCAAAGAAAACCGACAACCTGGTCGATATCCAATATTTCCCATTCGATAAGAGTTGCAAGACCATTTCCTGCAAATTCCAGAGCTCTGAGTTTGTTATATATGGTTAAGACCTAAATGGGAAGATGTAAGTTACTCTCACTATTGTACCAGGGGGCGCGAGAATTTGCAGGGGGCTTGTGGCTGACTGAATTTAGTAGCATAAAATCCACTGAAACCTGAGAGAAAACAGATCCAAGCTTGATTTGCCGGTCTATTTACACGTACTAAAACCCACTCTTCACCTAGACGCAAAGACTAAGCCAGGTGTGGTGTGCTTCCCTCGATTGAGCTTGATCCATGGTGCCCGTTCTTCTAGATCAATTGCTAGACCCCGACATACACCAATGACCGTGAGATATTTTAAGATCCACATTTCTCTAGATACCTAAACGGTTGGTTAGGCCTGCTTACGTATAGGCTATACCGAAGATGTTGGTTACCACCAATCGATGTCCACCTACACCATTAAAAGCTATAGTACTCCGAATCGTAGAATCAATACAGATCTTACAGACATCCTATAACTTCTTAGGGAGCGCACGGAGTTGGACTTAAGGAGCGGTCTATCCGTTAGCGAGCGAGGCGGCTAGTGTTTAGCCTATGTTCGGAACACGGGTGTTGTTATATAGAGCGTGGTAGAGGAGAGGTCGGTGGATAATATACTTATCACCGTAGTACTTTGCGCGTATACGGGCGGCGTTGATTTTATTAGCTGGCTCGTCGGTGTCCTTCCACTATATACTATCGGGTAGGTATCTACGCTAGAGATCCAGGTTCTTACTTAAAGCTTCTTAGACGGTAGATGACCATTATATTTCTCCTTGCCTTTTGACCTTATAAAGCTCGGTGTGGACTCGGTTCAGAATTTTGTGTAGTGGATTTAAGCAGAGTAGAACATCATGATCATACTTGGGCTCGCACTAAGATCGTCTAGGAGACTAATTGTAAATTGTCCTTTAGGGAGCTATATCCGATAATTATGCCTTTATGGCTTATACTCCTTTGGTCTATCATATCTATTATGAATCATGGGATTTCACTTAAGCGCTCCATCTTTGCTTCAGAGGGCTACTCTGGCTTTTCAGAAGTCTATGCCACTCATCTAAGGGCTCATCCGGAGTATCTGAGAAAAAAAGAGGGTTGGTCCAGAAACGAGTCAGTAGGCAGCCAAAAAGGACCATACTTTCTGTCAGCAGCATTTTGCCTAATTGTGAGTGCTAGCCAACATGTAAAACCACGTCAAGTTTCATTAAAGGACTTGCAAGGGGTGTCTGTACAGTACGAAAAGAAATATTCCCTCAACAGCTGATCTTTCCCCGTATAAAATGGAAAAATATGATAACGACCGCATGGCCATTATATCTGTGCAAATGCGGGGGCTATCAAAAGACAAGAAGTTTCGGTTCCTGATTGGCGATGACGGGCAAAAGGAATTCTGGTCTGGGAACTAGCATGTGGTTCCTTTGGAAAGCCTTTCCATTACCTTCGCATACCATCCAGGCATTCCTCTCTGATACAGCCTCATAGCGGTAGCCAGATATTGTCGGCTCGAATCCTTTAGGGCCGTTGATAGACGGTACCCCTCTGTCAGACCCATTTCTCTTTCTTTTTCAGCCACCACCGCTATATAAGCTTCTCTATCCGCAAATTTCTGTATATCACCTGCGTCTTTTGGGTAACCTTTCTCATCATAATTCCAAGGCGCATCCATATCAGGCGGTACAATGGATAGTGTCAAAGGGAATTCGCCAGATATCTCCCAGGGTCCTGCAAATGCGGCTTCCCAGTCGATAACACCAAGCAGCTTGTACTCATCATCGAAAATCATATTGCTATGGCCGAAGTCACCGTGATATAACGGAAAAGGGCCTCTATTTCGGACAGAGAGGCTTTCAGCCGAAGTACCGACTGAAGATCTGAAGGAAGACGCAGATGATGATAATTCATCGGCAAGAGAGCCAGCTACCTCTCTCAATCTGTCCTTAGATAAACCGAATTCGATTTTGGCCGCCCATGCCTTGAAAAACTCGGCAGCTGTTTCGAAAGGACCCCCTATTCCAGGAATAGGACCTTGTTCAAACGAGCCGTCATCGTTTCTGTGAAGGATAGTCCCAATTTTTGGTAGTTGTATTCTCGAGAGCTCAACCTAAAACGAAGGGTATTGTATTAGCAAAATATCCGCTTCGGTGAAGCCAACCAGCTGTAGGATACCTGGATCTCCGCCATTCTAGCAATGACATAGCTTTTGTGGCTAGAAGGTACTTCCATACCGAGATCTATTCCAACGTTGCCCTTTAAGCAATCCATCAACATGAATTGTGCGTTCACTCCGCAATCTGGGTCGAGTTCAATGGCATGGACCTGTGGGACAGGAATGTTGGTGTTCTCTTTGACAAGCAAGATCATATTATGTTCGAGTTTCATGATGTCTTCCGTCGTTTCCGATCTGCCTCTGTTTTGAGATAAAGATTGCATTCTCAATCGCGCTATCCACCGTTCATTGTCGTCGAATTCAATGATGCGGACCATATGATTGTATCCAAGACCAATATCAGGCAAAATATTGCACTCTCTTCCACCTCGCACTGTGGTTGCGTATTCCATGAGCGCATTCCAATTTGTGGATTCAATGAAGTTTTGCGCTCTTAATCGCAGAGCTTCATCCGTGAGAGATGAGAAATAGGACCATCGGTAGCCTGTAAAAGCACCATCGTCTAAAATAAAATTAGCATAGGCGCATGAGGATATCTGACATGGGTAGGCATACAAGGCATCTTTCCCTTGGGGAGGCTATTTGAGCTTTTCTCCGTTCTTTCCAGGGTGGGACAGAGGGTAGATTTATTTAGTATTTGAAATGGGCGCTGCACAGATAGATAAATCCAAAATGGCGGTGAGAGAATCAGGCTTGTGGCATGGACCTCTAGGGTTCCTAAAATACGGTACGAGTCGCCAAGACCAGTGGCACGATGAGGTCGTAACTTATTTGGGAAATATTACTCCGATGCATGCTCTCAGGAACACTGCTGAACATCTCTTCTGACTACCACGTCACGGTACGCCAATATCACCCGGGAATTGTTCGCGCTGGCTCGGTAGGAGACATGGCGCTTATTTGATACTGCAATCCATCATTTAGGCCTAAAACCTGTCCCTGTACCAAAGGTCCATGTGAGGTCTGAGCTACAGTCTAGCTTTGGCAGCTCTTGAGACTATTAGGGGATGTTTCCTTCAATCTATAGCTGCCTTTGTACCTCGTTCTCCGTTTTCTTGGTCCTCCGATGTGACTTCTCCCAATATAATGGAGTACGGCATTGCATGAGAGGATCACCCAAATTAGAGGACAAAATCTCATCATTGACCAAGGGGAACAAGGGTTGAGATTAACAGAGACTATCGTAGCGCAATCGGTGTACAAATGCACAATAAGTTGAAGTCCAGAATCTCAAAAAAACGTTCAGGCGTAGTCAACATCGGCGTACGCCTCCCTCTCTTTCCCATCAGTTCTGCATGCCGCATTCGCAGACCGTTCCTCTCTTCACTTCCTTCTTGCAGCCAATTCTGCAGCACACCGTATAAACGCTGGTAAAGTCGCTTGGACTGGGTGTTGGTTCGGCGGCCATCTTGACAAACGTCTGAATCTGAGAAGAAAGCAAGCGTAAGTATTTTCAGGATCTACCTAAAGAGCCGGTATTTCCAATGGGTAATCTCTTACATTGATTGAATCTGTCCGTACAAAGAACACACTGCAAAAGCGTTATCGAAACAGCTGTTATATGTCAGTGGGTACTTTCCGATCAAGGGGATTAAAAAATGTTTAGTTGGAATGGACGCACCTGGTAAGGTAAACTGGAGTTTGGGGATAGAAGTTTACGGGGTGAGGAATTCTTGTAGTATTTATATCCCTACGACGTTGCGTTGGAGGTTACAAACTAATGGAAGAGACATACATACCCTTACAATTGTCCGAGCGCATCGAATACCACCAATAACTTGTCGAGTCTGGAATATTGAGCATCGCCTTCGCAACTGACGCTGACCAATGAAAGGGTTGTATTTGTTGCGGCGCAGCAAGTACTTTGCAGCAAGTACTTTGGCCGGCCGCAAAAAGTCATTATGTTTTGTCTGTCCCCTCTCTCCCCTCTGTCCCCTCTGAATGCAGCTTACGAAGGAACGAGGCCAGAGTAGTTCGTAGATTCTTGCTCAGAATCCTCTCTTTGACGGGTTCCTGATCTGAGTTAGCACGGCCCGCCCTGGGTCGTAACAAGCGAAGAGATGCCGCACCTCGACCAAAACACAGACGCTGGTAAGCAACGGGATAATTGGAGTCCTCAGGGGTCTGTGCCTTTGGCAGCAGCAACCCCTCGTCGTCTGTAGCCAATGAAGCAAAAACGCGTCCGAGAAAATCAATACTACCATTAAGCGGCAATATATCCTAGGAGCATTGGTATCATTCTGAGGCTGCATATATTGCCCAATGACTTATCACATTACATGCACGGGCCTTATTTTGTAAGTGGCTATGTAAGGTGGAAGCTAGTAAGACCTTGCGAATGGTAGCCAATCAAACAAGTACGCGTCAGAGAATAAACAATGCCCTGCTACGTACGCGGAGATGTTTCCCAGGAGCTTCGTATTGTCACTACCCCGAGACTGCCACTTTGTGTCCGATTTGCTGCCTGACCTGAGGAGCGCAATTTTATAAACGGCCTCGTCTGCATCCCATTTGGCGACGGGGTAATGGGAGTTACTACTGCTGGAAGAACAAGAGCTGGAGTCTGTTGGCTTGCCAGTCGGTATCACTGGCACTTCGCCGGTCCCGGTGTAGCCTGGGATGATGACCATGGGGACGTTGTCGATTGTTATGCTGACCTGGCTGTCACCGCCGACTGTTGGTACCTTGGTACCGTACCATTAACTGTGATTGACCCTCCTGTTGCGTTGTATGGTTCACTACCAACGATAGCGATCTCCGAGATACTAGGGGCAACTGCCGTTGTGGATTTAGGCCCATAGCCGACCTGTCCCTAGTCGTCATTTGGATCATTAGTGGCCCCGGCCGGGTAGTATTACCCCGTTGTTGTGGATGCGCGCTGTCAATACCCAGGGCTTTTAGTGTTAGTGCCAGTAGCTCGTGTGGGATTGCTGACCTCGGTTGTTGTCTGCTTGCTGCTTGCTACGGTGGGGGGGGGGGGGGGGGGGGGGG